AAATGGAGATGATGAGATCATGACCCCGGTTCGGCGATCAAGCAGGCTCAGATACCAAGTCAATTTTTCATGACTAATCGAATATGCTCATTTGAACCACTAATATGGAGAAATAGTATTCACTTTTGACTTGGGAATGTTGTTAATTGTAGTTTAACATCTTGATTGGTGACATTGATGGTTGTACAAGGCTTGTAGTGCCTCAATATAGTGGCATCATTGTCTTCGATTCTATTTGTAAGTTTGTAACATGCTTAGTTGCTTACTCAGTGTGCCTTTGTTTTTGTTTTGCTCCTCTGCATTCTTCAATATTCAGATTTGTTTATCAATTTATTGGGCTGTTCTTTTATGTGAATGTTCTTGTACAGTTGTGTAGGGTTGCATTTGGTTGGTTACATGGACCAACTCAGGTCAGACATGCAGCATGAAGGATTGGGCTGTTTCCTTCATGCTGTATGGACGAATATGTCTATCACATATCTTCTGTTGGATGTAGTGGAGTGAGCAGGCATGCTTCACTGCTCATCCCCATTGCTATAACTGTTGAAGGCCTAAGAAATGCTAGTAGTTGGGAGATGAAAGCACAGAGCGGCTAATTGGATTTTTGAAGTACTAAAGTGAATGGAGAAGAAGCCACACAAAAGCAGTTCGTTCCGAGTTTCTTGAAACTCTTGGAAGAGTTTGTGCAGATACATATGCAGTGTCACTCGCTTAGCTCCTTAGATTAAATTATTGGGATAATTTTAGAAACCTCCCCTGAGGTTTTTAACTATTACAAGAAACTCCCCTCTAATTTAAAAAAATTACACCTACCTCCCCTATGATTAGCATTTTAGTAACAATATAGACCCAGTATGCTAAATTTGCCCTCAAAAAATCCTAAAATACCCCTTTGTTACTTAGAAGAAGGAAAACTACTAATAAATTTCTTTCACGTTACAACTATTATAAATGACATCAACACCACCTTAACGAACTCAATAAACCACTTCATCAACACCATCCTAATGAACTCAATAAACCACTTCAGTTCAATCTCCATATTCTCTTAATTTTGACAACTTATCATTGTCGCCCCAAAGTTTCCCATGCAAATCAATTGTGGCATCTTTTTTTCCTTCATTTAGTGTAACAACAAATCTGATCCAACAACTTGTTATTTGGTAATTTCAATTCAATAATACTTACACAAAAAAGGAAAACAAAAAAAAAAGAGAGAAGATGTATTTTCATAATAATGAAATTTGAGATGTATTAGATGATTGTGAAAATGGTAGTTGCGAAAAAATAATAGATTGTGAGATACAGGAGAAAGAAGATAGGAGAAACAGTAGGAGAGAGGAAATAAGAGTTTATTTTGTGTGACAGCCATTACTTTGTAATGAAATACTAGTTGTAGTTGTAGAAACTTTTTTTTTGTAAGAATTATTTTTAAGTGAATGATATTATGGTCATCTTACCATGTGAAGATGTTAGTGTAATTATTCAAATCTAAAGGGAGGTAAGTGAAATTATCCGTAAATTATTTAAGTGAAGTGTTTAACCGTGCGCATGGTTAGGAAAACTGGTTGAAGTTTTTCTGAGCAAACCTCTAGTACGGGTGGGCACAAGTCGGGTACTCACCCCGGAACAGTAAATGGTTGACTCGACCCTAAAATATGGGATCACTATTTTTTTTTACCCTAATCCGCTCCGTTTGTCCTCGGCAACTCGAAAAAAAGGGGCGGGTCACATGGTACTTGCCCCTAACCTTGACAGTAGTTTCTGTTGAATCATTAAGAACTTGAATTATGATTCTATGATAAGCCTCAACGAGCACCAAGCCACCAATTGACAGCTGATACACCTAAACACAAAACAAATGATGCAATGAAAAAGCATCAGAAACAAAAGAACTCAAGCTACTAGAGCAGAATTATACCAAGATCCAAAACTAATAAGACAAAATATAGCTCGCAATTGAATTGGAGATGCTGATGCCGCGGAGTAAAATTAGCAATAAAACTATCAAAATTTTCAACTTTTCAACGGAAACATAAAAAAACCAACAAACAAAATGATCAAGCCACAGGATTAGAATTCAATCCATACCCATAAATGTTTTTTTTTTAAAAAAAAAATTGTAGATGAATGTTCGATGTTCTGTAGATGAAGCGTATTACGTCTCAGCTGGAGAAAATGGACAGAGCTAATGCAGTGAGTCGACGACTTTTGGTAGAAGGTACCCCGAGGTGATTGAGAAGATTATTTCTTTGAACTCAATTTGAAACAAAAATTGAAGAGAAGAAGACTAGTGAGTAGTGAGTGTCAAAGTACAGAGACTTAGAGAAAGTTTTGGTTCTGGAGAGTGAAATGATTCATTTAGGTTTTAGGCTTAGTAACTTAAAAAATTATAAAATTGCTCCTATATTTTTTAATATTTATATAATATACCCCACAGGTCGGGTACCCGCAGGTTTTTATTTTTGTGATTCGTATCTGTATTCGAATATTACGGGTACTTGACCCTTATCTGCTCTACTGATAGAAATCAGATTGAAAATTCTAAATTTCGGTGTAGATTATATCAGGTCTCTCGTATTTTCGAGTTATTGGGTTTTTTGCCCGCCCTTAACCTCTAGTACAAGGAGTACTTTTTAATTATCCCGATGGGAGTAGGGAGAGCATTGAAGACTTGAAGTTGGAAGATAGTCTGGCATATAAGCCAAGCTTGATTAGCACATCTCCTGTGCTCCATTTGCTCTTTTAATGGCAAATGAAGTTTCTTAAGGATGGTTAGCTTACTTTATATTGGTAGATCGCATTTAATTTCTCTATTTCTTTTTTTTTTTTTGCGTATACTTAAATTTATATGTTGTACACATAATTTTTTTATACACTAATTTAATAATTTATTAACATGAGTACGATTGTAAACGTATGATGCATTTTGAAAGAAGTACAACATCTGTTCCAATTATATGAAAATCCCAATTGTATCGGCTTTTTTTCCTATTGCTATCTTGTATTTTTATTTACAAAAACAGTTGGTGTGCTTTTTACATGATTTGGTGTATATTTAATTTATATGTTGTGCACATAATTTAATTTATATGTTGTACACATAATTTTTTTGTTCTTATACACTAATTTAATAATTTAATAACACAATTACGATTGTAAACATACAATACATTTTGAAAGAGGTACAACAACTATTCCAATTGAATGAAAATCTAAATTGTATTGGCCCCACTTCCCATTGATGTCTTGTATTTTTATTTACAAAAACAGATGATGAACACATTCATTTGCTTGATAGCATGGGAATTGCCCGGAGAAATTAGTAATGGGAACCAAAAGTTTTCTGTGTTTGGTCGAAACAAATTTGTATGTACAACAATCTACGACTAAATACGTGATAAGTCTACAAATTAGAAGTAGAGACTAAGGGTCTGTTTGATAAAATAAAAAAGTGCTAAATCTGAATTTTTTCAGACATTCAGATGTTTTGAGTGTTTGATAAATGAAAATCTATTTGCTGAACTTGTTAAACAGTACTGAACCTGTGTGTATTTTTTTCAGCACAAGAATCCTAACTGAATGCTTAATTCTGATAAGAATCAATAGAATTATTTCAACTACCTTATCTTATCTACCAAATCTACCATTGTTTGTTAATTATGTTCAAAATTCTTATCCAATTAAACAACCTAATATTCTCTATCTAACGATTTTTAGTTTCTCTTTTCTCCCTTTTTAATGACTTTCACATCTTGTCCATACTTCTCATATAATATATTTCATCTTTTATATTAGTTTGATTTAAAAATAAATATTGTCATTTTCATACCTAAATATTTAGTTTCTTATTTGTGTGGTATTAATCTTGATTGTTTTTGTCATCATATTAGATTCCTCAGCACAAAAAAGTTTTGATTGTCGGCACAAAAGCTGTTGATTATTTTTGCCAATAATTGACTACAAGTTTCACTCAAAGGTGTCTAGTAACGCCTTCTAAAAGTTAATTTGTTTATTTTCTTTGGCAGACGTGAAAATGCATTTAATATACTGTTGGCCTTGTTTAGATACATTTTTTCTAAAAAAATTTATGTTTTTCGCGAACACATTTTTCGATCATCTTTTTAGTTTTATCACATATACTAAATTGCTATAATATATTATTTAACAAAAACTTGAAAATAGCAATCCAAACGATAAATAAAACGTTTTGTATTTAAAATTTTAAATGATAAATTTAAAACATTAAGTCTAGTAGGGGGAATCTACATGTTCTACGGTTTTGGAATGTGCCAAAATATTTGTCATATTGGAAAAGTTAAAGCACATTTTAATATATGTTTCCAATATAACATTTCTTTTTAATCATATGCATATTATCATTCAAATTCAAAATTTGAATTTGTGGGAGTAAAATTGGAAAGAGAAGCACAAACATCACAATTAAACTACTATTCTTAAAAATTGGATTCCCCAAATATAACAAAGGCTTTGTTTGGATTGTATACTATAGCGATTTAATATATGTCAGATAAAATAGTGATTGAAAAATGTATCCATGAAAAAAGTAATAATTTTTCTTTATAAAATTGCAATCCAAATACATTCTAAATAATTAGGACGGAGGGAGTAGTTTTACCGATAAGGTAAGAGTCCGAATAACAACCCGACCAATTATTATCACAGCCCATCCCATAATAGGGAGAGTGTAGTAATTTTGGTGGGAGAGACCATATAGTCATTGGCGCGGCCATTGTCCACTTGAGCGAATGTAAATTTGCCACGAATTCACCCAGCTGAATTTTCACGCAAACGGGTCAGAGAAAGGGTAAAATTTTAGTGGCAGGTCGTTAAAAGTTAAAAGCCAGATCACCAATCCGACCAAGCTAAGCTGCGTGAGTGTGTGTGCGGGAAATGTAAAATTAGGATACATTACATTAGATGCTTTAAAGCACGAAAAAAGATATTAAGTACTGCTACTACTCTATTCTATAACAAGGTAGAGAGAGAGAGAACAAGGGAGAGAGAGGGCTTTGGGTGTTTCGAGCCTCTTAACCTGTAACCTGTTACATCTTCATCACCGAAACAACAAGCTCAGCCACTCATTTCATCGAACGTGACGAGCAAATTTATATATTTTTGTGCACATAAAATTCGTGTGGTATTTATAGTTGAGCATTTTCCTTATGTAGTTGAAATCAGGTTAGGGTTTTAGGGGACTGCTTTTTATTTATGTGTGAGCAAGTATGGCGACCGCCACGCAATCAATTCGCTTCACTGGTCCGGCTTCTTCCACCGGCGCCGGCAATCTGGATACTCTCAACAGAGTACTCGCTGACCTCTGCACTCGAGGACACCCAAAGGTCTGTCCCTTTCTCCTTCATTACTCCTTCTTCCTCATTTTTTTTTGTTTTGGTTTTTTGTTTTCGTTGTTCTTCATTTTTTCAGTTGATACGTCCTGTTGTGACGAGAAGAATTCGGTGTTTTTCAGTACTTTTTTTTTGTTTTGGTTTTACTTGAGTGCATTTCTGTTTCTTTTGCAAGTTCAAGAGGATTGCTAAATCAATATAATAGTTGTTCAATTTGCATACAGGTGATTTCTTTTGTTGCCGATGCTGAAACGCCGGGGAGTTTTTGTTTTGTGTTTGTGTTCTATTTATTTATTTATTTTTGGGGCATTCACTTGAAAGGGTGGGAATTCATGCAAAACTAAGTGATTTACGTTTTGCAAGCAATGAGTTCATCTTCCATACCAATTAGAAGCTTGTGGATTTGTTGTATGAGTTAAGTGGAGAAAGGGATATTTTGGAGGTTCCTATAGAGGTCTCTTAGGTTTTCTTTCATGGAAAAGTTCGTCTTCCGGTGTGTTTTGATTGCAAGTAATAATTCACTTTCATTACGAGACCTACCTACTTTGGTTTAGATCAGGTTATGCGAGAGCTTCCCCCTTTTTTCTTGGGGTGTAATAATTGCTCCAGTTTTGAACCACGAGACATTCTCTTAGAATTTTCTTTAAAGGACCAATTTTTGTGCATGCTTTTAGTGAATGGATGCATGCATGCATGCATGCATGTATAATTACTTAAAGGCGCATGCTGACGAACTAAATGAGCATTTATATGCGATTACTAACTTTAGATTAGCATAATAGTGCTTACTGTTCAATGAAGCCTCAGATTGTTATAACAGTTTGAGTTAAGGAGTTTCATCCAAATAGTTTGATATAAATGCCAATCAATCTGGCCGTTCACGAGCTTGTAAGAGACCAGCTAGTTAATGTTGATACAGTTCTGAATGTGCTCCTTGAAAATTCTCTCTCTTCACTACTAGATTCTTTCCTAGTAAATCCAAAACTCTTAATCCGATGTTAGGTTTTCTCCATATGATAGCATTGTCTAGTATAACTTCTGTGGATTAGCACAGAAGTGGTTTTCATCAAAGCTTTAGGTAATTACTTTAATAAAATATCTTATGAATACTTATAATATGAAGTCTCTGATTGAGATCGGATTTGAAAGATGCTATTGAAATACATATATTTGGTCATATGAAGATGTCCAACGCTATTGCAGGCCTTGTTTGCAACTGTCACGTAGTTCCCCTTAGAGCCATTCCCCTCGGGGGAAATCCATATTGTCACCACGGGCAGTAATATCTCTGTGCCTCATGGATACTGCTGAAACTAAGTTAACGGGCAATTCCAACTATACTCTTTTCTTTTTGTCCCATTGTAAATAATTAAAATTTATTGCTGAAGAAAAGATTTGGTTTTTTGGGATGAAGAAGCCTGAAGAAAATGCATCGAGAGTTACATATAAACTATTTTTGCTGTTGGTCTTTGAAGCTTGCTGCTGAGATGTCCAAAAACAAATGAGATGTGGTCCACAAAATAAAGCAAGAAAACTGCATCCTGGATATGCTTATTAACATACACTGATCTTTGGAAATCCTACCATTCCACTCTTTCCAATATTTCTCAAAGGTTGGATAGCAATTTTTTTGTTGGCATATTTGAGCAAAACCTTTTCCACCAAAAATCCTAGACAGAAATCTCTTGATGCTTGCGAGTTGGTTGATTGCAAAGCAAAAGGTGATTAATATTCTCATACAATTTTTGCAGTTGTTACTAAATGCTCAAACAACTTTTTGTGGGTGTTCCTTGTAATTTCTTCTCAAATGACACTTGTTGATTCTCTTAATAACTGTAGTCCTAAGAAATGGTGGTAGTGACTGCATGGTGGTCTTGGAGGAGGAGGAGGATTTGGAGAGGGGGAACTTTCAAGTGGCCAACTTTTATTGCTGGTGACATGAATGGCAGAAATGCATGCAGAGTGTTGTAGGTGGTGCTGGACTCCAAGTGTGTTGTTGGCACATAAAGATGGTGTAGGTTTATGAGAGTGGAAAGGACCTTAAGATACTTGGATATTGCAGGTTTCTGGTGGTGAAGGTTTTGTGATTCTCAAGGTGGAAGTAGCGGGGAAATAACTTTAGTCTTTTGATTCATTTTGATGCTAAAGTCTGATTTTGTGAAGGTGTTATGCACCTTAGGTTGATGGTGATTGATTATGGCACTTGCTACACCATAAAATCTATAAAGTTTACGTCTATGCTTCTGTATGTATGTCTGCATATTCTATCAGATATGTATTTAACTACTTATTTGCAAACTTACCATATTATTTGTCTGTTTACAAGTATATGCATACGTATTCATAGGAGTTTTGTCAGCTTTTAAACGTGTGAATTAGATGAAAAGCTAGAGCAATGGATCTCTTCACATGAGATAGAAGTCTTAGGGATTGAATTCATAATTCTGTTACTACCTGTCCACTAAAATTTGCACCTTCTTTTCAAATATGGAAGCCAATTTATGGAAGTCTTTTTGAGTTATTTCCTTTTCTGTCTGAAGCATTCTGAGATACGTTACATGCCTATTTGTCAAAGTCTATATTGTCACAAAATTCAGGTGAAGATGAGAAAGTGAATTAGAGTTTTGATTGGTTTTATGATCTTCATATTTTAGTCTTTCCATTTAAGCTTTCGGGCTGATGGATGTCCTTTCCTGTTATTTCCATAATTTAAGATTTGATTGTTGTATAACATATTAATTCTAGTGGAATCATTACAAGGATAGTAGCTTGTCTTGTCAGTTTGTCAAGACAGTTGAATTCTCTAAAGAGGAATTGGTGAAGCATTTTGTCCTTCAGCTGTGTATAATAGAGGATATTAACCACAATTACTTCAGAATAATGCATGCCATCCCTTTTTCCTTTTTCTTTTTGAAACCAATGGTTGGAAATTCACGTTTCACCCCAGAGTGCTTAGGATACATCGAAAGTAACGTACTTTTGCAAGCACGAGCCCCACGATTAGGTCTGCAGAGAAATTATTTTTCTCATTTCTTTATGCTCAAAAGGCCCCTAAGTTCTTTGCTGTTTCTTTCTAAGCTTCTTTCAGAACACAGCCCTCAACTAAAGTCTCCACTTTCCCAAATATCATAATTGATATGTTCTTGTAACCAAGAAACACACTTTACAACCTACAGAAATTCAGAGGGGAAGTATTATAGAGTTTTGAAAATTCAGCGAAAATTTACCATTAAAGAGGTCACATGGCTAGAGGTGCATTCATTGTCTAATTGGAGTTAGCCAAGTGAAAATGTTGTTCCAGCATCTCTTCAAACGCAAGAATTGGTTGTACGAGCAATTTCGGCTTCGGGTCAGTTTATTGTTCCTACAACTGCACCAAATATTAAAATTCCAAACTCAATTTGGACTTTTCCACTTAATTTGGTGTTAAATTAATGCCCTAATTGAATTCCTAAGTTTAGATGTTGATTTGGGATGATTTTGGTGGTGCATGCAGGGTTGGACGAAATTGGCAGACAAACCTGGAATGGTTTTGGCTGTCTAGGAAATTTTCACTTGGTTATCAGGGATTTTGAATTTAAATCTTTAATCATATGCACCTCCAAAATTTTATGTTTGCTAGTAGAGAAGGGAGAAGCCGACTTGGGCTAAATAAAGTAGGAAGGCAAGCAAAATAAATTAAAGAATACATTAAAGCAGAAAGATTAAAGAATACAGAGTATTTCTTCTGCAAATTTTTTTTTTTATTTGGATGATTTTTGTCCATTTTACCCTTCAACCAAAGCAAGCACACCGAAATGGTAAGTTCCTAACATGAGGAGTTTAGGGATCAGCATGCCTTACCATATGGGGATTTTGGGTATTTTTCCCTTTATGATAAATAGCTTCATTTATGAATTCTTAATGGAAATTGTTTCTAGAGAGGACTGGGAGAATCGTGAAGATCCGTTTATGGCGATGGGCTTCCGTTGGGACAAATTCTTCTTCTCTGCCTTCATTTTTTGTTGGATTAATAGGCAAACACTGTAATTGCTTTGTGCTTGTTTTAGAGCTTTAAGGATTTGGTTTTTTTTTTAAGGGATCATCTGTTGATGGACATGCTAATGGTGAAAAGGCTATTAATTTGTTGGCACATGTTCTTTTTCTGTCATGTCATGAAGTTCTCATCCTATTGATGTACTTTTATTGTTGACCTTGACAAAATTCCTTTTTTTTTCCCCATGTGTAACAAACTCCAAGACCTGCACCAATAGCATTATAATGGTTGACAGTTGATTTGTGTATTACATTTTCTTGTCCCTAACTGGTGGAGCCGTTTGCTTTTCTTCCATTAAAAATATGCCTAGAAAACACAGATCTGTAGACTGAGGGAGACAATTAATCTTCCAATCTTTTGGATTTGTTTATCTTGGACCATAGATTCTTCTAGTCTATTGCCCTTGCTCTTATACATGTATGCTTATCTCTAGCGGTATTCCTGCACAAGGTAACCTTGATCAACATTTTGTTCTCTATTAAGAACTGAATTATTGTGCAAATTTTAGTTGCTTCACCTGAATTCTTCTGCTGCAATTAGTTCTTTAGCCTACGAAAAACTTCTGACTTTTGTTTATTATTATTATTATTATTATTTTTTATTTTTTTTGTGTGGAAGACTTATTTCCTGTATTTCTATGAGTAGGATGGAGCTGCAGTAGCATTACGGAAAGTTGTAGAGGAAGAAGCTCGCGATCTAAGTGGAGAAGCATTTTCACGTTTTATGGATCATCTTTATGACCGCATTACTAGTCTTTTAGAAAGTAATGAAGTTGCCGAGAATTTGGGAGCATTAAGGGCTATTGATGAGTTGATAGATGTTTCAATTGGGGAGAATGCTTCCAAAGTTTCGAAGTTTTCTAATTACATGCGTATTGTATTTGAGTCAAAGCGTGAACGTGATATTCTGGTCCTTGCTAGTGTAGTTCTGGGTCATCTAGCTAGAGCTGGTGGTGCAATGACTGCAGATGAAGTGGAACGTCAGGTTTGCTGTATATTGCTGTTCTCTCCTTACACAAATTATTGGATCTATAAGGATAAAGAAAAGACATCATCTGACTTCTGTCTCTCCCCAGATAAAAAGTGCACTGGAATGGCTTCGTGGAGATAGAATCGATTATCGTCGTTTTGCTGCTGTCTTGATACTAAAAGTAAGTTTTGCATTTTTTCTTTACTTGAATGTTGATCTAACTTTGAAGTTTATAATTTTTGAACACATTTTTTTGGAATGATAAAGCTTCAAAAAAAAAAAAGAATTCTGTAGCCTGTTTCCTTTTTGAGAAGTGTTTTATTTTGCAAGTTGGTGGGCTTTCTTGATTTCCACTGCATGTATCATGATCCTGCACCTATCCAATATCAAGGAGCCTGTCATGCCTGTAGCTTCCTTTTGAGAATTTAATGACTCTTGTTTCTTTGCTCAACATTCATGTATTCATGTGGTTAGACAAATTGTTCCTAGTAAGCATTTAACCAGTTTAGAGGTGAAAAATTTGTGATTGAAGAACTCTTTTTTGGTTAAATTAATTGCAGTATTACTTGTCTGGGGTTGTCTGAAACTTAATTTTCTTCAATGCAGGAGATGGCTGAAAATGCTTCCACCGTATTTAATGTTCATGTGCCCGAGTTTGTTGATGCTATTTGGGTTGCTTTGCGTGATCCTTCCGTTGATGTTCGGGAACGAGCTGTAGAGGCATTACGTGCTTGTCTCCGTGTGATTGAAAAGCGTGAGACACGATGGCGTGTCCAGTGGTAAGTCTACCACAGTAGACAGAGACATGAATGTAAGAGTTTCCACAATGTGAAGTTGCTGCGACCCTAATTCAATGTTTAATCACTAAACTCTGTCTTTTGGTTTTTTTCTTAAGATTTGATTGTCTTTGTATTTGACATTGGGTTTCAATCTCTCAGCTTAAATGAGAGTGTTTTATGAATTGTGCAAATTTACATTCTTCTGACAAGTCCTTTATTAGATGAAGCACCGAGCAAATGTGTGATTGTTGGATATAGGAGCTCAAAAATCTGCACTATACTGTATTAAGATGACCAAAACTTCTTTTATTTTTCAAGACTTTTCTAAGCAGTGATATTTTTTGAGCTTGAGAGAATGTATTTCTACGAGTTTTGACAGAATTTTTTTGAACAGGTAGCTAATGGTCTGATTCAAATGCATGTCAATTATTACATCATCTGGAAAATTAAACTCATCAAGGGAGTAATATATCCCAAAATTAAAAAAATCTCTATTACTGTTCTTCTCTCCCCATCCCAAAAGCAAAAGAAATTTTCTATCTGCTTCTTGGAACGTGTAGGCAATTACTTTCTTATTCCTGGATCTTCACTGCAACATTTCATTAGGTACTCGAAACTAGAGTTTCCTGTCCAATTTTGGAAACGTTAATAATAATAACAAGTGTTTTGCATTTCTTTTGCTTTTTTTTTATACTTTTCTACTGTTGTTTGTTCATTATTAATTATCACGGGGAATTGGTTCTTAATGTTCTTATTTGCAGGTATTATCGTATGTTTGAGGCTACGCAAGAAGGACTGGGTAAAAATGCTCCTATTCATAGTATACATGGTTCTCTTCTTGCAGTTGGGGAGCTCTTGAGGTTGGTTGAGTTTCTAAATCTATAAACGTTTGCGTCTACCATATTCATTGGTTGAAGCTTCGCTTCAACTACATAAAGAGCCTGCTCATCAGTTGACAAGAGAGAGAAATGTTCTAACAATCTGTTTGATTAATAGCAAGTAGTTATACCTGTAGAGATGTGTTTGGTACACCTCTACAGGTTTATTTATTACGCATTCTTGAGTTTTCCAAGCCCACAAACCTAGGATAGTATCACCTCTCCTTACCCTCTTCTAGAAGAAAGTCAAAAATAAACCAAAATTGAACTTGGAAAAAGACACCTACCAGACTTTTGTTTTTGCTTTCCTCTCCCAGATTGTCCCAATGGCCTTACCATCATTTTCTAGAACCGTTCAAGGTAAATTCCTGGAGTAGTGGGTTGTTGATGGTGTTTAGGCAGAATTGGAAGGCTTAGACTGTAGCTTACCTCTGAGCAAAATAACATGGACAAAAGTTGGAGTCAAGAAATTTGGTTTAATTTTTTCAATAATTAAATAAAGTCCACTTTGTTATTTTTTTGCAATGTTTGGCTCTAATATAGTTCTGTCTGAGCAAATTTTCAATCACTTGGTGTGGCTTTGCTGTGGGTTTCAATGTGGATTAGAGCTATTGGATGTTTTTGAGAATGTTTTGGAGCCACTGGTAGCAGGGGGAGGTGCTGCAGCTGCTGTGTGGTGGAGGTGAGGGATCCATTAGGGTGTGTTTTCTGAGACCGTGAAAAATGAAGAGAAGAGGAAGATAAAGAGAATAAAAAAAAAGTTGAAAAAAAGGAAAAAGAATAAAAAGATAGTCCTTTCTGTTCTGATTTAATTACGAAAGTAAGTTTTCACATATAGGAATCTTGTAAATCCATTATCATTGAGAGGGTCTTTGACAATCATTACCATTGCCATTCTTTAGTGGAAGCCAAGCGGGTCGAGAGTCTGTGAATAAGAAGAAAGAATTCTTCATGTTTGGCTTATTTAATTTACAATTAATTTTTTAAATAATCACAATTAATTTTGAACAACAAAATTTGTTATCATATGCAGTCTCTTATTTTGGTTTCATATCAAACTGTACAAAGCAATTAGTTACAATCTTTATCACCCTTTAAGGTCTTGGCATTGAAAATGAATCTGTTCTTCAACATTCAACTGCATAAGCTATTTAGTTGCACTCTTCTCCACTGATGCAGCTTGTGTCACCTTTGCTTGGTTGGATTTGAAAAAGCAGCTTAGAGTACATCCACAGACCACTGGTTCCCTTCTCCCCCCCCCCCTCCAAAAAACCAAAAAAAAAAAAAAGAACAAGAAAAGTTTGTGAAGTTTACTGCATTTTTGGTGGTCTTTTGTTTCTGGGTTCGAGAATTGATGACTGTGCCTCGTTAAGGGATGTTATTGAGAATGTCTCTGCACTATTATGATGTCACCCTTGCTACTTTGAAACCAAATATTCTATATGCAATTCTGGTGCCTTTTCCATTTATACTAGTTGTTTCTGGGATTTTTCTAAAATAAATCATTAAATTAGAAATGAAATCGGTCACTAGAAGATATTTGCAGCAGAGTTGCATGTACTAACTGCTACTAGTTTATGGAAAATTTGTGTTTGAATTCAATTTTGATTGGCCTTCCTGTATGCAAGTAAAGAAGCTGGGGATAATGATCGCACTTGCAGAATAATCATGGTTAGGGTGTTGAGTTACTGTTAACAATTTTTAGGTTTTCCAAGTTCATATTAATGGGATTTATTTCTCTTATTTTATTTTTGTCATGGTTCTGATCTGATTGGAGCTAAGTGTCTGCTCGAAGTATCTTGAAATGTAATCTTGATACTCTGTTTTTTTGTTTTTTTTTTGGTTTTTGGGTAAGTTATGTTGAACATATTTGCGATATATGACACTAGAACTCTTTATGCTTTTCAATCCTTCTGCTGAGCCATGAGTTCCAAATTTCATTGCTCTTGGAGCTGTAAATTGCTCAACCAGCACATCTAAGTCGAATTTACTCAAAAGATTTGTTTGTTATTTGGTCTGAATACCTATTTGTCATATATCTCCCCATCATTTGTACATATTCAGTTGGGAAATTAAATTGGTACATCCAACTGGACAGGAATACAGGTGAGTTTATGATGTCAAGGTACAGAGAAGTTGCTGAAATTGTTCTAAGATACTTGGAGCATCGAGATCGACTTGTTCGCCTGAGCATCACGTCTCTTCTTCCTCGAATAGCTCATTTCCTGCGTGATCGTTTTGTGACAAATTATCTAACGGTTTGTAGGATTTCATTTCTGCTTACCCTAGGAATTCATGCATCTTCAGTTCATGTATTGGAGGATGTTCGTTAAAAGATTATGTCATCTTTTATGCTATTTATTCCTCTTCTATCCTTATGAGATGACTTTTCCTTGCAGATATGCATGAATCACATACTTCATGTACTTAAAATACCTGCAGAACGTGCCAGTGGGTTTATTGCTCTCGGGGAGATGGCTGGTGCTTTGGATGGAGAACTCATTGACTATCTGCCGACAATAACATCACATTTACGCGATGCAGTATGCTATATAATTTATCACTCATGTTCCACTAACTTATTTGACTTACTGTGTTGTGCTTCCTGTAGAATCTCATAGTTTATCCAACTTTCTTTTGTTTGGGCAAATTTATTTTTATGGTTTGGAATTTGTGGTATCTGTGCACATTTATCAAGCACAAATTGCCTCAGAGGTGGCATTTGTTTTTGGTAGATTGCTCCTCGCAGAGGTCGACCATCACCTGAGGCTTTGGTTTGTGTTGGCAATTTAGCAAAAGCAATGGGGCCTAAGATGGAATCCCATGTTCGTAGTCTCTTGGATGCCATGTTTTCTGCTGGTCTTTCTGTTACGTTAATAGAAGCCCTTGATCAAATATCGATCAGGTTCTCTAACAAATAATCAGTAAAAGAATACATTCTTATGTTTCTGTGATCATTTTTACCAATCTTGTTGTACTGGTTGATGTTTCAGCATCCCTTCTTTGCTGCCTACAATCCAAGGTCGTTTGCTCGAATGCATTTCAGTAGTTCTTACAAGATCCCATCATACTCAGGCGAGAGCATCTGTTGCCATGAGTCGAGGAAATATCACAACTACCACTCAACAAGTGTCTGAACTTAGTGGATCTGCTCTTGTTCAACTTGCTTTGCAAACCCTTGCTCGGTTTAACTTCAAGGTATGCCCAATTTACTGCCTTTGGATTCTTTTTTGCTCTTCCTTTTACTTTGTCATTTCAGAGTCAGCTGCTATTGCTTAGGGCCATGATCTTCTTGAGTTTGCTCGGGAGTCTGTTGTGGTATATCTCGAAGATGACGATGGAGGCACAAGGAAAGATGCTGCATTCTGTTGCTGCAGGCTAGTTGCAAATTCCTTCACTGGCACGCCGATGCAGTTTAGCTCTAGCAGGACTAGTCGTGCTGGCGGCAGGCGACGGCGTCTTGTTGAGGAGGTATGCTTTTTCAAGTGCTAAGTTTTTACTGTAAGTTAATAAACTTTTTCGGCTGTTCTTATCTCTCTGATTAATTTCCTACTCTAAAAAAAATTAAGTGGAAGTTCAAAGAACACTCTTTAGTTTAAAAGGATTTTTTTTGAGCTATTCCGTGTGAGCTTGCAGATACATGCTATGGTCTCACCCATGTCATGCACATGCAAACCTCTTTTACCTGGCTCTATTTCTAGTCTAAGTAGTTCTTATATAGGTTTGATCTGTAATTGCACTAGGTTTCGGTAACTCCTATTCTAAATTTTCGGGTAATTGTTTTCTGAAAATTCTGGTGAACTCTATCAGATGGCTGTATTTGATCAAGAGTTTGAGATACACGTGATGAATATTTTTGAGCTATAATTCTATCTGTTTGTACTGGTGAGACTATTGCTTTCTCGCTGAGATGGCTAGTTCATGCTTCTCCAGATTTATTTGGGATAGTAACTCTTTGCGCTCCTGAATGTTTGTGGTGGTAACACTTTACCCCCCCGAGCTTCAAAAGTATGCATTTTACCCCCCAAGTGAATACTGTTTATACTTTTAACTTTGACCAACCAATGTGAATATCTTTCTTCGCAAATTACCCTCAACCTTCCTAGTTTCTTAACGGTCAAGTTTAGGCTGTTGCATTTCCCTGCTGTATGATCATTACTATTTTAGCACCTCATAGGTGTCCTTGGAGTTAATTGTGTAGCCTGAGGTATACTTTAGCAGGGAAAACATATCTTTCTTGGGGGTATTTTGCTGCTGTGTTTTACTCTCTAGTATGTCTTTTGTTCTGAAGAGCATGCTTTTTAATGAAATTCATATTGGTGTAGAACTTAGCATATCTTATGGCAAGTACAGATTTCCTTTTGGCTTTGGTCGGTCTGCATTTTTAGAACATACAGAACAGGGCATGACAACGTGGCAAGTAGGATCCTTTTTAGCAAAGCTTAACTCTTTTCGCGTTCTTTCAAAGCCTCTCTATATCTTGCTGCATCCGCCTTTAGTGCTCTGCATGTCCTCTGAAGTTCTTCATAATTTTTCATATATTTCTCCTTTACATTTTTCTCTCTTTGCAAATCTGCATACTTCCTTTCCAGGTTACAACACCTTCTCTTTTTGATCAGCTGGTTTTGTTAGCAATGACTTCCCAATCTGCTATCCTTTTTCGCATACCTCAGATTCTACCATTCAAAAAATCCACAAGCTTTTTCATTCTATGCATAGAATCATTAGCATATACTTGTTACAAAAATCAGGCCAACTTCATATATTTTTTCACAAGGTTGAGGTTACCTTATAATTAGAGCATCCTATGAACTAACTTCCTGGATCTTCGAAGGACCAATGTGGTGCATAATGGTGCTTTTATCCAACAGTTGCACCTTGCATCTGGACTTGATTTTTACCTTGATGAAACTGAGGTATTTGAGGAGCAATTGCAGTGATTCATTTGTTGTTGTTGGTCCAGAAAGATAAAGAGGTTGGTTCCTCTCTTTTGCAAATTATGATGAATCTATAGCAGGAAAAGGCAATGGTCTAAAAGTTGATCGTTAAGAAATTAGGAAGGCTGAGGATAATTTGACAAGAAAAATATTCACATGGGTTGGTCAAATTTAAGAGTACAAACGGTATTCACTTGGGGGGACAAAATGCATATTTTTGAAACTCGGGGGTTAAAGTGTTACCACCCCAAACATTCAGGGGGGCAAAGTGTTATTAACCTATTTATTTTGTATGTAGTGGGTAATACTAATGCATGTCTTTCTTACTTGATGTATGTAAATCAAAATAATTACATGGAGAGACCCTAAAGAAAGTTATCAAGGACTGGGCAACTTCTCTGATCCATGTGTCTTCAGGCAATTCCTTGTGTATGTTGCTGGTTTATTTATGATTGAACTGGACCTGGGAGTAACGCATCAGTGCTTGCTCTCTCTCTCTCTCTCTCTCTCTCCCCCCCCTCTCCCTCTCTCCCTCTCTCTCTGTGGGAAGGTCAGTGGGAGAGGTCCTGTTATAACCTGTAAATTCTGAAAAAGTTAAGTGCTCTGAATCTGCTGTCTGCATGACTCCTTTCTGGAATATAGCGCTCCTCATGTTCTTGCCTCTCGAGTAATTGTTAACGATGTGCCTGATGGACTGCATTGTCTTTCTGCAGATTGTGCAAAGGCTTCTTATTGCTGCTGTTGCAGATGCTGACGTTTCTGTTCGACATTCCATTTTTGTCTCTCTACATGGAAATAGAGGCTTTGATGAATTCTTAGCACAAGCTGATAGTTTGACTGCTATATTTTCTGCTTTAAATGATGAGGTATAAACATGCATGCTTACCCAAAAGTGCTAAGGAAATTGCTTAATATACATCAATTTTGCTCCATTAGGACTTTGACTTGTTATTTCAGTTTTTTGGCCATAAAATAGTTATGGATTATAATATCCTTCTACCTTCTGCTATTTATCTCTTCTAAATAGCTTTTTCTTGTCTTGTTTAGTATTTTGTTCTTTTCTCTGTTCTGTTATTTTTTTTCTTCTTGTAGCGGTTGGTGGTTAAAGAAGCTGTGCAGCTAGACTGAAATTAGGGTTTTAAAGGGTTTTAATACTTTTTTCAGGGTCTAAGAAGCTTTTATGTACATATGCATTAGTTCCTCTTCTCTTTAACTGGGTATGCTGGAAGTCAAGATGAGTAGACAATGGATCTTAATCTGTAGATTGACAGATACTATTTTCATTATTCTTGCCCTTGGCTTTAATACCTGCATTTTTTTTTTCGCTCAATAGTATGTGTTCATGCAATTAGCACATAACTTCAATGTGCAATTTGCTGCCTTTTTTATTAATTTGTACTTTCTCCTTAGGACTTTGATGTCAGGGAGTTGGCAATTTCTTTAGCTGGGAGATTGTCTGAGAAGAATCCAGCATATGTCCTTCCTGCTCTTCGCCGCCATCTTATTCAATTGTTGACTTATCTTGAACAGAGGTAGTCTTTAGAGGTTTTGGTTTCTGCTGTGCATCCGCTATTTGTTTCTTTAGTGAATTGCTTGCCAAAGCAACTTGTCCCATTGGTTCAGATCCTTGAGAAAGAGTATTGCTTTACAAACCAATTAACTGGATAGCTCAGTTTACGTATGTGACTTGATAAATGAAACATATGCTTGTAGTATTCTGTTTTGGTGAGTGTCATAATGCTCAAGTAACAGTTAAGAGTTTCATCTTATCAAGATTTTCTCAAGTTCTTTAGTGATATTTGTGCTAAGTTCTCTATTTCTGTCAGCAGTGCAGATAGTAAATGTAGAGAAGAGAGTGCAAAATTATTGGGTTGCTTAATTCGTAATTGTGAGCGACTGATACTCCCATATATTGCTCCAGTACACAAGGTTCAGTGCTTGCCTAAATTAGCTTCAATATGTGTTTTATCATCTCTCTGCTCATGTAGCTTTTACATATTCCAGGCCCTCGTTGCTAAACTTTGTGAGGGAACTGGGGTCAATGCTAATAATGGGATTATAAGTGGAGTTCTGGTGACTGTTGGGGATCTTGCAAGAGTGGTGAGTTTTCACTTTTCTATCTTTATTTATTTATTCATTCATTTATTTATTTGTGTGGGGACAGTTTTGTTTGCCTGCTTTTGCTCTTTGATCGTTATCCTTGTGTTTTACACAACCCCAGCTAAAAGATAATTCTTTCTATTAGGCTTAGTAAGAGTAGAAATTTACTTTCTTTCCTCGCATGATTTCGAGTAGACAAGTTCGACCTACAGGATTTCTGATGATATGTGTTTCACCTTTTCCCATATTATATTTTTCTTCCTCTTCACGCGATTTGTGGTTTTCTGCATTTATTGTGCAACTTGAATAGTTAGTCTTCTGACAATCATGGGCATGGGATTACTGATGTGGTTTGTCTAGTCACACTTTAACTTGCAATTGATTTTATTTCATATAGGTTGAATTTGTGGTGAGATCTGCGACATTAGTCATTATGCCTTAGGTTCTGGAAAAATAAATTTAAACGTATACTTAATGTTTTTGTGCTGGGACTGGATGATGGTTGATCATGTTTCTGGTTCTTGTAGTGTAACTACTAATCACATTATGATCTCTTTGTTTTCTTGATCCAGGGTGGTTTTGCAATGAGACAGTACATTCCAGAACTCATGCCATTAATTGTTGAAACTTTACTGGATGGAGCTGCAGCCACAAAACGTGAAGTGGCTGTTGCGACTCTTGGTCAGGTGGTACAAAGTACAGGGTATGTCTTGTTCATTTTTTCATTCTTCCCTGCTCAAGCATGCTAGTCATCTGTGTCTTGGTTGGGAACAATTTATAAACATGAGATTTTGTTGGTATGAACTTCTACATGGTTTTGTTTGAGAGCTTGTATAGATTTCACATGTCTATAATTATGTATTACATAATTTTGGAATATCTTGCAGCTATGTCATAGCTCCATATAATGAGTACCCACCGTTGCTCGGTTTGCTCTTGAAGTTGCTTAATGGTGAGCTTGCATGGTCTACCAGAAAAGAGGTTTTAAAGGTACCTGTACGCCAACTTGTTTGACCTCCTGTGACTTTCATACTTGAGTTTTATGCTACAATTATGCTGGATGCATGCCAGGTTCTTGGAATAATGGGGGCTTTAGATCCCCATGCACATAAGCGCAATCAGCAAAGCTTGCCAGGGTCACATGGTGAAGTTAGTCGTGCAGCCAATGATCCTGGTCAACACATTCGTTCAATGGATGAATTGCCAATGGATCTTTGGCCATCTTTTGCAACCTCAGATGATTATTATTCGACTGTAAGACTTCAAACAGAGATCAATCTTTTATGGTTTTTTTGTGCCCTAACAAACTTTTACCTTTGCAGGTTGCTATAAATTCTCTTATGCGGATTCTGAGGGATCCTTCTTTGTCTAGCTACCACCAAAAAGTGGTTGGATCTCTTATGTTTATATTCAAGGTTTGTGTTACCTTGGGGAACTTTTTTTTTTTCTTGACGACGTTATATTATCTCATGATGAAAACTAATGGTGTTCTACATTTTCTCTGCAAGTAGTCAATGGGTCTTGGCTGCGTTCCTTATTTGCCCAAGGTTAGTTTATTTCTCTTGCAATTTATCTCATGTTTCTGCTTTTGTTGTTTCAATCAAGTAGTCATGTATTCTCCATACAAAATTATTGCTCTGAATATGGAAATCTGCCCTCCTCCTGTTCACCTCCTAATCATAAAGCCACTTCCCCAAGAAGGGAAGAACTCAAACAAATTAGTACTTTCCACATGAAAAATTGAAGCATAAAACTGCACCAAATTAAGCAATAGGTTTTTGGGTTGGTTTTTTGGGATAGAGGATCAAGAGTTTCAGTTATATGGCTTAAAGTTCATGCAGAGTTTTAGGGATGTTATTCTTGGGCTATTGTTTAAATTTATAACTGCATTTTGGAATTATCCCACCAATTTCAAGGTTCTTTTCCCACTTATGGTTTTTGTGCAGGATTAACTTTTCCACTATCCTTGACGTTAGGTTTTTCTTCCCGAAAAGGTTGACTTACGTATGCATTTGATGTGTAGGTTTTACCTGATCTTTTCCATACCGTTCGTACTTGTGAAGATGGTCTCAAGGAGTTTATAACCTGGAAGTTAGGAACTCTGGTTTCTATTGTTCGGCAGGTAATTGTAATAATACTCAATGGATTTGCTTGTTCAGCCACAAGTTCTTTTCTGCAATTATTGTGAGATTGATGTTATTGGTGTATGTGCAGCATATTCGAAAATATCTGCCAGAATTGCTTTCTCTGATATCAGAGCTATGGTCATCCTTCAGTTTGCCTGCTACTAATCGACCTGTACATGGATCTCCGGTACTGTGAGATTGTTTTGCTGGGATTATTGGAATCGTTGTTTATATTGTAGGAGATATCAATATACTGACTCAGTTCTTATGGGGTGCTGGTGTTGTAGATTCTACATTTAGTAGAGCAACTTTGCTTGGCGCTAAATGACGAATTCAGAACGTATCTTCCTGTAATTCTCCCATGCTGTATTCAAGTCCTCAGTGATGCTGAGCGGTTTAATGATTATACCTTTGTCCCGGATATTCTCCACACCCTTGAAGTTTTTGGCGGTCAGTGTTTGACAGCTTTAACTGCTTTGTTTGGTAAGCTGTAGGTGTAGAATGTATTTAATTATAATGAAAAACTTTATGAATGCATGCTGCAGGCACCTTAGATGAGCATATGCATCTAGTATTACCTGCGCTTATCAGATTGTTTAAAGTTGATGCGTCAGTGGATGTAAGGCGTGCAGCTATCAAAACTCTGACAAGATTGATCCCTCGTGTACAGGTTGGTGATAGTGTCCAATTTGGCATTGTGCTTTTCAAGCATTTATTGACCATTTGGTTTCATCCTTTTATCCATAAAATTACCATATTCCCTAAATCAGGTTACCGGTCATATCTCTGCCCTCGTGCACCACTTGAAGCTTGTCTTGGATGGGTATGATCTCCTCTCTATTTTGGTTTTTGATAAGCCTGGGACTTGAAGCTTGTCTTTTCTCCATTGTTTTGAAAGGATGGATTAAAATGGAAAACACTAGTCCTTTGCAAGGAGGATTCAAAGCTATGGATATCTTTCTATTTTTGGATGTTTGGCAATTATTGATTATGGGTCTTATGACAAAACCAATTATTTATGCCCACAAGAAAAGTGAAAGGAATGCAGCGGAACAAATTTGAGGTCCCTGGCACCTCTCTAGAATGGTAACACACATTAGCTTCAAGAGCGAAAAAGGATTTCTGATTTTTAGATGATTAGAAGATTTACGAGCTTAGACGATCAAAGTTTAACCATATTCTTCACTAGTGCTTTTTGAGTACATCTTTCCTTCCAAGCTGACCCGCCATGTCATGTTCTGCTCTGAAATAGTTTGTCAGATTTTATTCACTAACTTATACATGATGCATACTGTATAATCTATAGGAAAAATGACGAGCTTAGAAAGGATGCTGTTGATGCACTTTGTTGTTTAGCTCATGCTGTTGGAGAGGATTTCACTATCTTCATCTCCTCCATCTATAAGCTGCTGTTGAAACATCGCTTGCGGGTAGTTTCTCATCACCTACCTGATCCCATCCCAAAGTGCCATGTCTATTGTCTTAGTACCATTTCCAAATTTACTGAGGTTGTGTGGCTCAAATGATTGTTTTGCAGCATAGAGAGTTTGAGGAAATCAAAGATCGCCTGCAAAAACGTGAACCATTAATCATGGGGAGCACAGCTACACAAAGATTAAGTCGCCGTCTTCCTGTTGATGTTGTCAGTGATCCTTTGAGTGAAATGGAGAACGACTATGATGATGGGGCAGACATGCACCGGCAGCTAAGAAGCCATCAGGTGATTTGTGTGCTTCTGTTCTAGTCGTCAATCCTTCATCTAATTGTCTTCCGGTGATGTTGCACTCAAATTGGAACAATAGGGCTTAGTATTCTAATGATAATCACAAGGAGAACAAAGGAATCATTCCTCTTAATCTGTTTGCTAGTGTACATTTAACATCATTGCACAAACATAATATTCGTCACCCTTGGCTTTGAGGTTTGCTAGGACTAAACTTCATTGATGATGAGGTATGTTTCAACCAATTTGTGGATACTGCAGATCAATGATAAAACCTCAGTATAGCTTTCTCCAATTACATTTGTCCTTCAAGCGAAAGTTATACAATTGGTTTAGAGAAATCCCTCATCATCCCATCTGCATTGTAAAGGAAGTCATAATGAAATTGAAGTGCTGTTTATTTGGCAATCTTTCTTAAATTTCAATATGAATACAAGGATAGAAAGTTTTTTATTCTCAAGTTCTGTTGGCAACTTTGCAAAGGGTGTGTTCTCGTTTGAAATTCACTTTTTCCTCCCTCTTCTAATAAACCATTAAGCTTGCTTGGATCAATTGACATATTTGAGCAAACTGTTCACAGGAATTTAAAATCATGCTTGCATTGGGATTCTTATGCTCATATTTTTCTGCAAATTCTTGTTCATACAAACGTAACATAGTAGGAATTTTTTCATGGAGAAAATCATGGTTAAGTCACTGGGTGTTCATTTCTTGATACGCTCGGGGTCTGCTTTAAGATATTGCTCGTCATTTTATATAACCTGGCTGCAGTGTAATATATGTTGAATTGCTCTGACCATTTGCAGCATCACTCCCTTGAACTTGGATTGCGATTGGGTCTCATAAATGCTTTAGGGAACCACTGACCAAGTAATATGGTTAGAAAATGATAAAAAATGTCATTGGATAGACAATTTAGATTTCTAAGCATCTATGTCAGAAGGTACAGTATTAAGAATTTTACTAATCCAACTGCATACTGCTAGAATGCTTTCTTGTATTTGTGAACATAGCAAAATTGCTCTTTATTTAGTAACTCATTAGCATGTTAATACAGGTAAACGAGGTACGGTTGCGCTCTGCTGGGGAAGCTTCTCAGCGGAGTACAAAGGAGGATTGGGCAGAGTGGATGAGGCATTTTAGCATTGAGCTTCTGAAGGAGTCACCTATTCCTGCGTTGAGAACATGTGCTAGACTTGCACAGCTGCAGGTATTGTTGGTTACTTTTTGATTGTGTACTTTTCTTCCTTATCGATGTTCCTCGTCACTGCCACCACAACCTTTTTTAAAAAAATTAAGGTGGTTCCTCCCACACGAAATTAACTTGAGAATCAGAAAATTGATGTTTTGCACCTTGCAGCCGTTTGTAGGGAGGGAGCTTTTTGCTGCTGGTTTTGTTAGCTGCTGGTCAGAACTGAATGAGGCTAGTCAACGACAGCTAGTGCGAAGTTTGGAAATGGCTTTTTCCTCCCCGAATATACCTCCAGAGATTCTTGCAACGCTTCTGAATTTGGTAAGTTTTTGCTGTTTCTTGCGGTAGCATTTTCCTGAAAATTAAGGTTCAATGTCGTTTATGAGCTGTGGTTAGGTTATTAATGTGGTCAGTGGGCCTGTAGGTATTATAACATGCAATAGTGGTCCCTATCAGCAAGTTTTGTTTTCTTTTCATTTGGTATGTGAGCAGATATTCTTGGGCTGTCCCTAATCTGATGCAGTTTTTACTAGCTTTTTGACTTCTGGAACCATCTTACTTATTTTGCAGTTTTTGGTCAGAGAACCTTATTCTGCTATTTGCCTGGAGAATTCTCCTGATGCAAAAGATGGTTTTACCTTAACTTTTAGTTAAGTTGCTATTTGGATCTTGAAACTACTATTGATAGTTATGTTCTCTTTGAATGTAATGCTTAAAAAGATGAGAAAAATTTGGTTGGATTGGACTAGGATTTTCATCATCCTATCTAAGTCTTTAATGTGATTTAAAGTTGGAGTTCACCATCTGTTAGTGAAAAAGATGTTCTGCTTCGGACAATTTTACCATGGAACATGACTTTTTGCCAGCATGCTTTTTTGTTCTTCATTTGGAAAACATAATTTGCATGACTAATGTAATCATTAGAAGTGTGCATGCTTTTCTTCTCATTCAGTTTGTATTCTTGAGCAAAAGTGTTTTTGATCTGATTATGATGATTCCCTGATTGCTAAGAAATTCCCATCTTATATTTGCCTGTTTGCATCCAATGGTAACATTAAGTTGCTTAATTTCCAGTCTTGTTTGCATTGTGAACTTGGTCAGTTCATTATTGAATGCTTTAGTATGTATAAACACTAAAGGTTTTCAAAGACATACCACTGGATCTGCAAGCATGTAGGAGTTTTACCTTTGCAGATGAGAAGGAGAGTTTATTGGTTAGTATATTGAGGTTTTATTTAGAATTTCAAATTTGTTAGCACATGCATGTGCAAATGTGCTTCTAACTTTAATTGTGTCCATCTATTGTTGCATGCTGTTTCTATTGTAGTCTTCTTTAAAAAGCAAAATAGATGGATTTTGCGTATTTGTTTTACTTGTAAATGTGAGCGCGCAGTATGCTACATATCCTGCTACAGTATTATTTGTCAGTTGGAGTCTACTCAAAATAAAGTTCTCTGAGGCCATCAACAGTAGATGCTCCAACATCCCATCAACCAAAATTCTGCTTCAATGAAAACCATGATACTTTGTATCATTTTCAGTGTCTTGACCTTGAGCGATATAATATTTCTCCATGGCATAAAAATTTTGAATCATACTAGCTAATTGTATACATATGCAAACAGTGTGCTCTTTCAAGTACACTGGTATCATGCTGTTTGCACTAATTCATTTACTTGTCAAAAGTGAAGATGATAGAAAAAATGCTATTACTTAGTTGTAGCTTTCAGGTGGATGAATTTTAGGAAGAGTAGCAATCCGCATAATGAAGAAACCAAGTCCTTTGGTTGTCTTTATGTCATTAATGCATTTGAGACTGCGGGCATGCAACTTGATTTTGATGATCAGTCTGTGCAATAATCTGTGCAGGCAGAGTTTATGGAACATGATGAGAGACCCCTTCCTATTGACATTCGTCTCCTTGGTGCTCTTGCAGAGAAAGTGAGGTTTTTCTGCAAAAAGTTCTCATATGTATTACCTTCCATTGCCTTGTCGATTTCTCTCACCACTTCTCGTTTCAGTGTCGGGCATTTGCAAAGGCTCTGCATTATAAAGAGATGGAATTTGAAGGAGCACGCTCCAATAGGATGGATGCAAATCCTATTGCTGTGGTTGAGGCACTTATTCATATAAACAATCAATTACATCAGCATGAGGTCTTTCTTGTTATTCAAGTTCACCATTTGCTGGATGCTTATACTTTAATCAATATTGTTTAGTTGAATCACTGTTGTTTCTTTAGGCTGCTGTTGGAATCTTGACATATGCACAACAACATCTGGGCGTTCAACTAAAGGAATCATGGTACCCTTGAACTGTTCTGCTGGCTTCATAATTCATTCACTTTTGAACTTGTGTCATTGGTACCTGCAATGGATCTCATTTTCCATAAAGCTGGTTTGCGGATATTAACTTGGATATTTGTAGGTATGAAAAGTTGCAGCGATGGGATGATGCTCTGAAAGCTTACACTGCCAAAGCCTCTCAAACATCCAATCCTCATCTAGTTTTGGATGCTACCCTAGGTTTGTATTGACTGTTATATAGCATCTGGTTTCTTGTTTCTTTTACTTTTTACTGAATGAAGTTTCTTAGGTGAGAAGTATCTGTAAATGGATACCTCGCACTATAGAATTCACAAGTGGTTAGGAAATAGGACTGCAAGGTTCTTGACTTTATATTATTTTTCCAGTGATTTAGTGATGTAGTGATCTCAATATACATATCATATGATACAGGCTGGTTATTTGTGGCTTAATTAACTGCAGTGATCATTGTCATCGCTGAGTCAAATTTCTGTCTCTTTGACTAGCGTAAACACACATACACTAAAAATTCACAAAATGCAACCTTGTAGTATTGACTGAAATTGGTTTATGTGATTGTTTCTTCCAAGTCTTTATTGATCACCTTACCTAGATCAGAAGATTAGTGTTACCATGAAGGCCTAATCTGACTAGTTTTGCTCAACACAGGCCAGCATTTTCACGAATTGGTTTTATACTTGCCTATTGCTTTTTATCTCTGATAGTTATGATTTCTATTTTAAAACTTTGGCTGTTTATCACCTGAAATTCATGTCTTGTTTAAAACAACAGCAATTGCATACTTTCTGTTGAGATTCAATGAGTTATGAAACTCCTTGTGTGTCTCTGGTCCTACATTATCTCAAATGCGTCTGAACTGTCCATTGGTTTCAAGCCTTTATACTCTCATCCTGATGAAAATGCCTCCTCTTTTAATTTTTCTTGTTTTCAAAGGACGGATGCGATGCCTTGCTGCATTGGCTCGGTGGGAGGAGCTTAACAATCTCTGCAAAGATTTCTGGACACCTGCTGAACCTGCTGCTCGATTGGAGATGGCACCAATGGTTCATTTTTTAACTTTAATCTTCTCAATTAATTTTTAGAGACTGGGGCAACTATTTCCTTGGAATGTGGGTTTATGGTTTTATTAATTCAGGCTGCTAATGCTGCATGGAACATGGGTGAGTGGGATCAAATGGCAGAATATGTTTCTCGACTGGATGATGGTGATGAAACGAAACTTCGTACCTTGGGAAACACTGCCGCTACGGGAGATGGCAGCAGTAATGGAACATTTTTTAGGGCTGTTCTCTTAGTTCGTCGTGGAAAAGTAGAGTCTCTTTCCATCTTTTAAATTTTCCATTTTCTAAATTTTCATAATGGTAAAGTCCTACTGAGTCTTGATTTGTTTGCATCAGTATGATGAAGCACGCGAATACATTGAGAGAGCGAGAAAATGTTTGGCTACTGAGCTCGCTGCTTTGGTTAGTTCACCATTCTCTAATGATCTCCTCTGTAGGTTACTGGCTTGTTGTCCTGAGGAACATGATATATTCTTGATTCTAGTATTCTCTGCTGTTGGCTTGAATTGCAATGGTTAAAATTGGTAAAGGTGTTAAATTGACACAGTGTAGTGCTTAAGATTGTTGAATGGTGTGTCAAACAAATGCCAGTCTCCTTTATCAGTTATCTGTATAGCTGTATGTATATTTTTTTGGGTTTTTTTTTGTGTTGTTGTTGTTTAGGGGGGGGGGGAAGGTGGGGGGTTCAATTGCTTATGTCTAGCTATTGTGAAAATTAACTTGGCTCAAGTTTGCTGTTCCATATTGACAGTCAATTACTTGTAAAGAGGCACCAAGTTGGCTAATTAAAGAATTCTCATTGAACTGCTCTGTAGTGTTACTTTTTTTTAAACTGCACCAAGCTTTGGGAAACATGAAGAGTGCAACTAATAAATAGCTCTTTTCTTTTTATGCTGCTTGCTGTTGCTAAATATTGATGGATATTGTGTGAAACATGTTGATTAGGTTCTTGAAAGCTATGACCGTGCATACAGCAATATGGTCCGTGTTCAGCAGCTCTCTGAACTAGAAGAAGTATGCCTTTATATTCTTATCCTTAATTTCTTGTTTGGTTTACTTTGGCTGTTTAAGTTACTGCTAAATGTGATGTAATTCAAGCCGTATTGAGTAACTTAACCTTAAATAGGTAATTGAGTACTGCACTCTCCCTTTGGGGAACCCTGTTGCTGAGGGGCGAAGGGCCCTCATTCGCAATATGTGGAACGAGCGCATAAAAGGTGCAAAGCGGAATGTTGAGGTATATATCTTGAGTTTTCTCCTTGTTATATAGTTTGCTTGAACTCAATGGAAACTGGAGACTGATTTTCTATTTCTGGACTAGATGATCACTTTTCTCCATTCCGTTGTGTTACTGGACTGCTTTTTTTTTTTTTGTTTGGGGGGGGGGGAAAGGGGGAGTGAGTGGGTGTGAGGAGGGGGGAGGTCGGAAGGGGAGGTTGATGATGAGGGCCCGTTATCAAGGTTCATTTTTGAATGTAAGTTTTTGAAGACCACTGCAGCTATTTTACTTGGTTAATTGTATGTGTCAAAATCTGGAAAAAAATGTTAAAGAGGACTTTTTGGAAAATGATAGTCTGAAAATGCCACTTCCTCTTTTTGGGGTCAATACCTGGTTTGTGTTTTCATAATTAAATTTCTCTCTGATCTTTTCTTCTGCAGCTATGGTCCCTAATCTTTTACTTGTTCTTTGGTTTCTAATCTCTTGATACTTGATTCTTCGAACTTGAAGGTTTGGCAAGTACTCCTGGCTGTCAGGGCTCTTGTGCTGCCCCCTACAGAAGACTCTGAAACATGGATCAAGTTTGCTTCTCTTTGCCGTAAAAGTGGCAGAATAAGTCAGGCTAAGTCTACTTTGACAAAACTTTTACAGGTTAGTGATGGTTGTCTGTTGGACTTGATAGGTGAGCAGTTTTTCTCTCTGTTATTTGTGCTCCAAGTATCTGACTCTTGTTCCTGTAGTTTGATCCTGAAACAACCACTGAAACTGTACGGGTGCATGGACCTCCTCAAGTGGTTCTGGCGTATTTGAAATATCAGTGGTCACTTGGGGAGGATCACAAGCGCAAGGAAGCCTTTGCTAGGTTGCAGGTATTAATCAAGCACAAACTACCTGCTGCTCTTTTATATACTATTTACTTATATCTGCATTTTCTTCATGTTCTGATGCAGGAGTTGGCTATGGATCTTACAAGAACGCCAAATCTTCAACCTGCCAGTCAGACTAGCTCAATCAGCAATTCAAACGTATCACTCCTTGCCCGTGTATATCTAAAACTTGGAAGTTGGCAGTGGGCACTTTCTCCTGGTTTGGATGATGATTCTATACAAGGTTCTTTCTCTTCCTCTTTTATCTTTCTGTGCATACCAAATTCTCAAGTTTGCCTTAAAACACACTTTTGACAATGTACTCTTCATTGTCCTTATTGGTCTTGATTTCAGAAATTCTTAGTGCATTCCGGAATGCTACTCATTGTGCTACAAAGTGGGCAAAAGGATGGCATACATGGGCACTCTTCAACACGGCTGTGATGTCTCATTATACGTTGAGAGGCTTCCCAAGCATAGCTGCTCAATTTGTTGTTGCTGCAGTTAATGGGTATTTTCACTCCATAGCTTGTGCAGCACATGCTAAGGGAGTGGATGATAGTTTACAGGTGGCATGTCAATCTAAATCCTCTTCAAATCTTCAAGCATATTTTGGATTACTTTGCCAAAGCTTCCAGTAATTTGAGAACGTTAGATCAGCATAGTTAGTTTCTTTTATGAAACATTCGAGACATTTTGAGTTACTTTATTAGAACCTATCGTTTTGAATGTGGGACTTGGTTGAGTAGATTTTATCTTCTTTTCCTACGAATGCTCTTAATATTTGATTAGTTGGAGCTTTATTTTTGGGCAGGAGGATGGAAAGTACTGACCTTTCTTATCTATGTTGTGGTTTGGACTTGGTTGTTCAGTGTATATCGCACAACTTATATGATCTTAGTGATATCCTTTCTGTTTCATCTTGTGCTTAATACTCTCCAGGGTTTATTTAAGTCCAAGCAGCGCTGCTGATATTGATAGGATCATATTTTCATTTTCCACCAGTGTTTTGATCTGTTTCATTTCTTTGTATTGAACTTTGTGATTGATACTTCTGCCTTCTCACATATACATTAAGTGTCTATCGTTCATCAAATTGCAGGATATTCTGCGTCTTCTCACTCTGTGGTTCAACCATGGAGCAACTTCAGAGGTTCAAATGGCATTGCAGAAAGGATTCACACATGTTAACATCAACACTTGGTTGGTTGTTTTGCCCCAAATAATTGCTAGGATACATTCAAATAATCACGCTGTCCGTGAGTTGATACAATCACTGCTAGTACGAATTGGACAGAGCCATCCACAGGTTGGTGTTCAGCCTTTACATGGCACCTTGAGCTATTTGCTTGTCATTTTCATGCTTTGGATGGAATGGGTTTTTCCATTATCAATGCCGTATTAGATTAGTAGATTTATACATCTCCTTTCCTTTTGTACTCCATTGTTAAATTCTTTTCCTTACAGCTCATGGCTTATATTTGTTCATAAGTGCACCTTGTCTTTCAGTATTGCTTTAAGTTTATGAGCTTATTATCCTAATCAAAGAATATGGTAAGTTCGTTTACCACCTTTGATAGATGAATTTTTAGTGATGAACCTAATTGGTTTAGGTTTCCGCAGAGGTTCTTCTTGTAATTCTATGAAGCATCTTACGAGTTTTTATGAGAACCTATCTAATTGTTTAGGAACAATAGCTTTGGAGGGGCAAATTGACTCTTGGGTTGGTTGCTAATGATGTTCTCTGGATGGCAAGCACTCATGAAAGGAAATGAGGAGGAGAAAAAGTGAGAGTTATAAAAGAAGCTAGCATAGTTTGGTGCATAGGGGTCCCCATTTCACTGCTATGGCTGTAGGCTCATCATTATGTCATTTGAAGTATACGCATTCTAGGTTATCTTTATGAAGTTCATTAGATGCTTTCAGTTGTTATATCAATTCTTGAAAACTGTAAAGATGTTCTATTTGGGTTGCATCCTGGAGAAACCCTCTGAAACTGTCATGTTATTCCTGTTCAATTGGTTTTGAGGTGCACTCAGTCACAGAACAAGATAATCAAAGACAGATAGTTCACACCATGGCTGGTGTAACGAGTTACCTCTGTTTTGTTACATTGGAGAGAGTAAGATATTTGATTGATTGGTAGAAGTTATCTAGACAGATTATAGTCAATTTGCATTGTAATTTTTCAAATGAACACTCCAATATATGATTTATTCTTTCAAGGCAATTATTCTGTTTGATTATGGGAGAGATGTGTTAAGGTAATCCTTGCTTTCAACTGAGACAATATTTAGGAAATTGTAGAATTGACACTTTGAATCATTTTGTGTTTGGTTGCAAGGTGAAGTGTCAGAAATTGAAGGATAATTAATTATTTTTTCTTATATGTGTGTTGGTTTTGCAGTAAAATTAGAAAATCTTCCCTCACTATCCTTCATTTTGTGTCATGCAAAATTTGCAGGATTTTCTATTCAATTTTCCTTTTCTGTTTTCAGAAATTTGACCATTTCATGTCTTATAATTGTATTTCAGGCTCTTATGTATCCACTTCTTGTGGCATGTAAATCAATTAGCAATTTACGTAGAGCTGCAGCTCAAGAAGTTGTGGATAAAGTTCGACAGCATAGTGGTGTGCTGGTGGACCAGGTTAAAATGGTGACCAGAATGATAATCTTTTTGTGGCATTTGTTATGTTGGTCTGACTATTTTGATTTTCTGTAAGGCACAACTTGTGTCCAAGGAGTTGATCAGAGTTGCAATACTTTGGCATGAAATGTGGCATGAAGCATTGGAAGAGGCTAGTCGTTTGTATTTTGGTGAGCACAACATTGAGGGGATGCTAAAGGTGTTAGAGCCATTGCATGAAATGCTTGAGGAAGGGGCTACGAGGAATGACACCACCGCAAAAGAAAAAGCTTTCATTCAGGTGAACTCTAGTTTTTTAATTTTGCTGACATTCTCTTATGGTTGGTAGGTCTTTCCAGCTTTGTACAGAATGCTTTACTTTCATCGACATGGCCTACATTTAAATCATGGATATGCTTTTTGAAGTTCCTCCCATGTAATTTTGATTATTTTGTCTGAACTTTTCTTGGGCATTGTGCTAGTTCAACTTTGGAAAAATTTATTCTTGTACTTCTTCTTGGATGGATTTGACGTCTTTAAATTTCCAACTCCCACTGTAATGTCTACATGTTTACCTGGACAGAATATGAGGAAGTGGTTTGAACAAGAATAATCCTGTACAGTAGGCTTGATAGAGCTTACACATATTCCACCAATTCTGTACTTAGAGTGGATGTGTTTTGTTGTTTACAGGCATACCGCCATGAATTATTGGAGGCCTATGAGTGCTGTGTGAAATATAGGAGAACTGGAAAAGATGCAGAACTTATTCAGGTACCAGTTGAATTCAGTATTGCACTGGAAAAAATTTTCTCAGCCTATTATTGTGAGTTTGTGGTACCATACAAAGGCCTTGTTATCCCGACCAGCTTCTTCCTACATGCTAGAATTTTTATCTTTAGTCATCATGTACTTGTGCAATTTCTCACTGGTTTGATTGAGAATCTTCTCTCACCTTTGCTTATTGAGAAGTCTAATTGACACAGGATGCTCTTTATTGATCATTCAGTTTTGTTACTTTCAAAAGAATAGATTCTTTATTTTTGCTGTTGCATGCATCACAGTTGGGGATCCCTCTATATATGAAGAGACGGTTGTCTTGATCTGCATAATATGCATCATTTTTAATTGTCCTCTGCCCAGTTTAAGGGTTACAACTATATTTTGCGTGGACTCTGATCAGTGTAAAACAATTATATGTCAGGCTTGGGATCTGTATTATCATGTATTCCGGAGGATAGATAAGCAACTTCAAACTCTTACCACCCTGGATTTGCAGGCAAGGAACAGACTTTATTATGCTTATGATTTTTCTATTTTGTATCTCCTCATAGTAGTTTATCTTCTATTTGGGGAACCAGTCTGTTTCTCCGGAGCTATTGGAATGCCGAAACTTGGAGCTGGCTGTTCCTGGAACCTATCGAGCTGGTAAATTTGAAATGCTCACTTCAAATGCATAAAAGCATTGATCTTCAGTTTTTGTGCTGAAATGTGGTAACTTGTCGAAAACCTATTCCCTCAGATTCACCGGTGGTCACCATAGCATCATTTGTGGACCAGCTGGTGGTTATAACATCCAAACAACGACCCCGGAAATTGACAATTCACGGTAGTGATGGCGAAGATTATGCTTTCTTGCTCAAGGGGCATGAAGATCTACGTCAAGATGAACGTGTCATGCAGGTTCTTAATTGCTTTAAAGATTTTGTGCCTCTTTTGTCCATTATGATGTTTTTTGCTCAGGTTTCCTGGTTCTTCTGACTTGGATAGATCAAATTGAAATGGTTGCCAGACTTTCTTGTTTTCTTAATCATATTTGAAGTCTGGAGATTCTAAACTTTTACATGTTTACCAGCTTTTTGGTTTAGTGAATACACTCTTGGAGAATTCTAGAAAGACTGCAGAAAAAGATCTTTCTATCCAAAGATATGATGTCATTCCATTATCTCCGAACAGTGGGTTGATAGGATGGGTTGCAAATTGTGACACACTGCACCATCTGATTCGGGAGTACAGAGATGCTCGTAAGGTTCGTTTGAGTTATTAGGATGTTGCTTCGTGTTCCTGTCCCTGTGTGTTGTTTGCTTCTGATGTTTGAACTTCTGACTTCATAGATCACCCTAAATCAAGAGCACAAACTAATGCTTAGTTTTGCTCCGGATTATGATCACTTGCCACTTATAGCAAAAGTAGAGGTGTTTGAGTACGCTTTGCAGAATACAGAAGGAAATGACCTATCACGAGTAAGCAATACCAAGAAACTTGTGGCAGCCTTTTCTTCTTCTTCTTCCCTCTCCCTTCTCCCTCCCTCTGTACTGTCCTCTGTCTCTCTTTCTCTGACATGCAATCGATACATATCCAAGTAGTAGTCGTCTGAAGATGATAAATTCATTTGTATAGGTACTGTGGTTGAAGAGTCGCACATCTGAAGTCTGGCTGGACAGGAGGACAAATTATACGAGAAGTTTAGCTGTTATGAGCATGGTACATATGCCTCTTTAACTTTGCTTTATTAAATTCATTTCAAGTGAGGCCAAAAGTTAGTTCGTTCCATGTAAATACTCTCAGAAATATTTGTGGTCAAGTTGAATAACACCATAGTCATGCCATTTACATCTTGAGGCTTCTGTCCCTGCATATACTTTCAGCATAGTTGTGACAGTTTGCTGAATGATTGACTGATTTCTCTTGTAATAAAAAATGTATCTCTAGATTTTCATGACTTTATTCCAGTTGATAAGCAAGTGATGAGCAATTAGAGATGCCAACTCATTGGACACGGATGTGAGATCATACATTGAATGAGAATGAATTCACTCAGCATGCTGCAGTATGCTGTGCCACTATATAGTTGGTTGTGATCCATGATAGAGTTATTTCTTAATGGTTCTTTGTCACATATTTAAATTGATTTGGAAATTTCAATAATCATTTCTTGTATAAGTTGTCTTTTGAGCTTCTTTTATGTACCATCTATATCATGCTACACTAGCTGACTAAAATCATTTGCCCTCTCCTTTCTTTATCCGCCTGAAGCCTTGAACCCTCTTATTGATGTTTACTCCTGTCACATTGAATGATCCATGAATTATACGGTGGTTCAGCAAGTATTATACTGTGGTTTAGCAAGAAATCTGTAGAGCTTTCACCTTCAAATAGATAATGTACTTGCTGTTTCTGGGAAGTAAGAGCTACTGAATGATTTTTTCACTTCTTTCAGGTTGGTTACCTACTTGGTTTAGGCGATCGACATCCTAGTAACCTTATGCTGCATCGTTCCAGGTAATTTGGTGGTTTTGTTTATGTGTTCATTTGGTTCTGCATGTACTTACTTGTATTGGTTGTCAGTGGGAAGATATTGCACATTGACTTCGGAGATTGCTTTGAAGCTTCAATGAATAGAGAAAAATTCCCTGAAAAGGTTTGCAATCTAAAATTTTTTCTGCCATAGTAAATCTTCCATTATTCCGTGCTCCAATCGAATAAGGCTGGTACAGCTTCTTCACATGAGGATTTTGATATAGGTTCCTTTCCGCCTCACAAGAATGCTTGTTAAAGCAATGGAAGTTAGTGGTATTGAGGGAAACTTCCGATCAACTTGTGAAAATGTCATGCAAGTTCTCCGAACAAATAAAGATAGTGTTATGGCAATGATGGAGGTATAGAAATTGAAACTGCTCTTTTGCATCTTACTTTCCGTACATCGTCCCAGTTGGAATGGGGTTGCTTAGAACTTTTCCCCTTTCTTGGGAGGGTGGAGGTTTACTAAGTTTTTTTCTCCCCACCATTTTAATGGCCATGCTTCTATGGCTTCTTTCTCATGTATCTTTTGTCTGTTGAAGGAAAGGAAATCAGAAAATTTATGTATATACAAAATAATAATAATGAGTTTTATTTAATGCTTTTGCAGGCCTTTGTTCACGATCCCCTTATAAATTGGCGTCTTTTCAACTTGAATGAAGTCCCCCAAATGTCAGCTCTTGCAAGTGCACATCTTCCTGCTGTTGTCAATAGTGACGAGTCTGCTGCAAACAGGGAACTCCAGCACCCTCTGCGGGGTGCCCGAGAGCGAGAACTTCTTCAGGTTTTGGTTATTCTGTACCCAAAATCTCTCTCTATGTATGCTTTTTCACTGATGACTTTAATGTGTGATTGTAGGCTGTCAATCAACTTGGAGATGCTAATGAGGTTTTAAATGAGCGTGCTGTTGTTGTTATGGCTCGGATGAGTAACAAACTTACTGGACGTGATTTTTCTACCTGTTCTCCAGTGTCGAACAGCTCCATTCAACATGCGCTTGATCACAGTACCTTAATTTCTGGTGATACGCGTGAACCTGAACATGGTTTGTCTGTAAAACTGCAAGTTCAAAAACTCATTCTCCAAGCAACATCTCATGAAAATTTGTGCCAGAATTATGTTGGGTATGGTTTCTGAACCTAAATTTCCTCCACTTCTTCCATTTTCCTTACAGCTATGTTGCAGGATAGTTGGATGATTTTAACAGCTTATAATCTTTCTTTGCTGGCACAGTTTTGTATATGTGCCAATAAAGGGAGCAGAAAATTATTGTTATATTGCTTTCAAATAACAATTTAGTGTCTTTAATGCATGCTGATAAATATTAAATTTGCAATTAGCTGCTTGGAACTACTGAAAGAGAAAGAACTAGCTGCTTTCTTGCAGTTCCTATAGTAGTCAATTGCGTCTTACAAACAGCTGGTGCTTGCTTGGAACTAGTGAGAGAGAGAGAGAACTAGCTGCTTGCCTGCAGTTCTTTGTAGTAGTCAATTGCGTCTTACAAACAGCTGGCTCTTCCTATTTTCTTTCCGTGACAAAAGTTCCACCCTTTAAGACAAGTAAATAAAGCATCTACAAGCAAGAAATGCCATCGGTAGCTTGACCTTTGGACATCGCTATGGTTAGGCTAGTCATTAGCTTTTTGTTACTTGCTAGTTGCTTGCTATAGATAATTTATAACTAAATTCAATATTAACCTGGGATCCTTTTCATAAAAAATATGCATCTTGAGTTTAAATTGAAGCAACCACTGGGGTTAGTCCAGTGGCTAGAGAAGGGCTTTTAGAGCTCCCCCCATTGCAAGTTCAAGGTGTGAATCTTGAGCCTAATAGTTGGCAGTGAAAAGGATGTGGGGAGGGATGGGAGATAAAAAAAAAAAAAAAAAGTTTAAAAATTAATTGAGGAGAAATTAATAAGTGAATGCATGTTATCTAGGATTTATGTGGTATCACTTTTCTAACGAGAGCTCTTTTCGACTCTTTCAGGTGGTGTCCCTTCTGGTAAATTGAAGATCACTTGTGACTGTATATAGTTTTGTATATAGCCCAAGCTTTTGCAGAACTGGCCAACCTCTCCCCTCTTTGATGATTGTAGCAATTCTTGTATATAGAGCGCTACATGTAATAAGAGTTAAACTGAACATTGTATATAACGTCCGGTACATTGAAGGTAAGCAAAGCAGCCAAAATGTTGTAGGACGGAGGAAGAGGTCATGTTCTAATTTCATTTTTTTTGATTTGGTCAACTTTATGTAAAGAAGTGCCCATGTATCAATATATATGAGCTGTGACAGGAGCCGGCGTCTCTTCCATCCTTCCAATTGCATGGACTGGTTTTAAATACAGACTCTTTTATTTTATCTCTCACGTGCACTTAGAATAAGATTTTTCTTGACGCTACCCAAAAACAGCTATTTGATCGTGAGAAAACTTCATGGTGAATACCATTTCTGAATCTCATTCATATGTCGTAAACTGGACACGTTTACGATCCACGTTCGGGTGAAATATGTAAAAACTCTTGCTACGGCAAGGTGCTAGGTCATCAGAATTAAAACCATTCATAACATCCCTCATAGCAAGTATCCAGTCAGTTGGGGTTCCAGTAGAAAAGGGTGGCATGACGACGAATTGCAAAAGAAGTCATCCGGAAAAAGTAACTCAATATTTACAGCAAAATATTCATTATTTGGATAAGTCAGAGAATGTACAACAACCTATTTCCTGGTTTTAAAAAAATGACAGATCCATTAAAAAAGGACACGGCGTGCCTGTCATGCGTGGATGGAGACGGTGAAACAACTTGTGGAGATGACTTTAGTCACCAGTAGCTTGAAGAGTTAGCACCCTCGAGGATATGTATGTTTAACGTCTATGCTACAAGTACCTTCTCGTATTTGCTTTGCTCAAGGCTGAGAAGAAATTCGGTAAATGTATGCTCGTAATCAGGCATCTTACCATATCCTGCACGAGTTATCAAATGCTTGTTTAGCAACCATAATCATATATTTTGTGTACAAAGTAAGTTCAAGACAAAATATGATCAGCCATTAGGACCAAATTATATTTATCTATGAAAATTCTTAAATCCACGAAGATAACTGATCCAGTCCATGTCACCACATGGCCATCGACAGAACTACGCCATCATGTAAAAGAACATACACATGGTCAAAGTCTATTTAGAGAATAAGCGGGTAAAAGGAAGAAACTAACACCAGAACACACATCCAGGAGGACTGCAAAGCGGAATTTAATCTTTAGCTTTCAGCTTCCAATTAAGTTGAAGGAACTAGATTAATGAGCAGTAGTTCTTACACTAGAATATCAAAACATATTGACTCGCAAAATTCATAAATAGTATTTATTACAAGTAAATAAAAAGCAAAGAACAAAAACATTTTTGTAAGCAGGAAAGTTTATGAAGATGCAGATACCTGAGCAAATTAATCGAGGATGCTGGAATAGAATGGCAATATGAACCAAAGGCAAGCAAGATGCAGCCATGCATTATTGATATTTTAATAGTTTTCCAAAAAGGTATTATTTACCAACATACAACTGGAACCATAAGACAATGCATACTTGGATTTCAATCAGGTACACTAACTGCGCACGTGATTCCCAACCCCCGCCCCCCTTTCTCAACCAGGGGGGAAAATACACCCGCCCCGGCGGGGGGGTGGGGGGGTGGGGGTGGGGGTGGGAATTCATGAACAAGGCAAAGTAACAAAATTTTCTTGACTTACCGGGGAAGTAGTTGATATCGATTATGTAATACAGATCTCTTGTCCCATACTCCCGTATTATGTCTACATTGAACAGCTGGAGACCCTGGATGACAGACGGATCAGGCACATGGCACAGCAAAAGAAGTACAGGCAAGAATAATATACCAAAACAAAGGAGTAAAGAAACTTACCAATCGAAGGCGAAGCTCTCTTGCAAGCATCTCGAGCAAAGGACTCGGAGGGAGTTCTTCACAGAACAATTAGTTAATGTTAACAAAATAATGTATGGCAAAAATCATGCCTGGCCAAAAAGTCAACCTTTAAACATGCACCGCTCTTTTAGCTGGCTTAAAGCAAAATATCACTTGACACAGACAATGAAAGATCTTCACTCATGCAGTGAAAAGTGCTGCAAACCTAGTCAGAAAGAAGAATGCACTGAAGTTTTGGCATATGGAATGATTCTTCTACTTATTGAGTTTTTGTTCAATTGGTTATTCCTCATAGATGACTAGTCCAATAATATCTGTATGGAAACGTTTGATATAACCAAGAGATCTCAAGCCATATGTGCTTTTAAGCCCAAATGTCGCTTGAACATAACAAGGAGATCTCATGCCACATGTTTTTAAGCCCCATAATGCACGGTGAACTCATCAATATTAAAAGTCAACATTTATGATAACTACAAGACCTCGCGACTCACCGGCAACCTTCGGGTCCAGATCAGCGCCATCTGCAGAAGCTGAAGCACATGAAACTCTTGGAAAAGGGAATACACCAGCAATTTTTGACAGTTCACGTTTACACACATCAGGTAGAGAGAAGCGCCTGACAACTTTTATGAATTCTCCAATAATATACACTTTAAAGAGAACACCGCCTACAATAGATCAAAAAATTCTTGAATGTACAGATAAATTAATGATAGCATCAGTATAATAACTATTAGGTTTATGCCTCTAGAAACATGAATACCATGATTAACAAACTCCTGTAATACCAAAGGCGGCTCGAGTTTAGCAAGAGAAACTTTGTCATATGCAAGAAAAAGTTCATGGGACTTTGCACTTCCATCCACTACCAAAGGTTTTGCAACTGAAACAAGTAAAGTAAAGTTGACAAAGCTTTAGTCAAACTTAGATAAAAATAGAATTATTTATAACAAAAGCACCTTTCTTTGTGGAAAGATTACATTGAAACAGCTACCATAAGTGCCATGTGTAGGAAGTTATCACGGAAAACATTAAAAGAAGTGTTGAAAGATTACAAATCAACTCAAGACTGCAAGCATGGTTCTTAGTAACTACTACTCCACCTATCTCATTATTATTAACCACATTTTTTTTCTTCTTGTAACAAAAATTGTCCACTATTGCTCCTCAAAGATCATGTATCACCACATTGGATAATATTCCTCTCTCTGAAAATGCATTAGTCTCAAGCACTTCCAATTTTATATTTTGATAAAAGAGATGCAATACTCTCATACCAAGAGCCATCTCAAAGTGGCAAAAAAAAGGGGATTCAGGGAGTATATCAAAGAAATAGGTCATAGTATAGGTGCCAGTTCCCAAGTTGACAAAAAATTCTCATTGCCCATGTGAATCTGTCATCACCAAATCCTATTATAACACTCAAACCTGTTCATATTATCCTAATTTTTAATGTGTTTTGAAGAAACTAAGAGCTAGAGAGCAACTTGATCATTCAAGAAAAAAGCTAGAATCTTCCAGCTCACCATCCGTGAGAAAGAGAGAAACATGGCACCCAAATAATAACAACCCTCCAAAAAGCAAAGCGAGAAAAGAAAAACAAAACACTGGAACTTTACCTAAGGGAAGTTTAAGACCTTCTTTCGTAACCTCATGCGGAATAGATGATGGATCTGTTGTGAAAACCAACTGCCTTGGAACAGTGACTCTGCCTATAAGCAATTTAAGGGCCCAAAACCCAATTACACTGTTACCTTGAAGTAATTGAATGCCAAATACACATCAGTGATGTCTAGAAATCACGAAAGCATGACCACACCTGTGCATATATGCATATGTATACATGTCCGTGCAATGTCCTACATACAGAGAGACAGCCAAGGACAAAAGGAAAAAGTACATGCAAATCAGCAATTTACAAGTACCATAATAATCAGGTAAGTTTAGATCAGCAACATCCTCCAGCATGGACTGACGATTGTTTACATGTTCTATAGCATCAGGAGGATCTAAGACAGTAACATTTGGATTCTTTTGCCCATAATCCTACAAAAGAAAGAAAATGGTTATAAGAATGAAATGCCCAGTTAAAAAGGCAAAAGGGGATACATAAGAATGAAATGCCCAGCTAAAAGAGACGACTAGATAGGTTAAGCATTACTAATTACTATGAGAAGCCTATTTTCCAAAAGAAGTTATTGTCCCACTCGAATGTTACCCGGCAGAAAACTCCTAGCAGTTTGTTGAACAGCCAATTTATTTCTCAGTGGTGCCTAATTTCAATAGTGTAAATTGAGAAGCAATGGAAAACAAGCATTTTAGTCAAATGGGTTATTTGTCAGGTGTAAACACCGTGGTATGTTCTTCCTCATCCCCCATCCAGGCAAGAAACCATGGCCAACAGAATATTTGGAAAACAGATACATAAACGTACATACACATTTGGTATACACACACACACACACATAGACAGAGAGAGAGAGAGAGATTAACTATTACATACTTTATGCCTTCATTCACACAGGCAGAGATAAATATAAGCTATTAAAAATTTAAAATAAATTCGGATGTTGCACAGAATATGCAGAGGTGATCCAGATCAGCTATACCATTTCTATTGTTCGGCTAATATCTTTGGGTTTTTTAACTTCTTGTTGGGTACTCTTTTATTATTATTCACATGCAAGTTAAGATCAATTTAAACAAGTAGATTTCCATTCTTCTTTTGTCCTTTTTCTTTTATTCATCTAATTACCTCTGATAAGAAATTTATTTGCATACTTCTACATTTCCCACAAGTATTGAGAAATTGAAATGCAGCAATGATACAGAAGTGTGCAGAGGTTAAGCATCATGGGAGATGCACGCACAAAAGACGACCTCTGAAACACACAACACTTGCAATCAACACATAGAACAGATACCTAACTACATAGTTTGATTCCAGAAAATAAGTTGAAACAAACCAGAACCATAAAATGAAACTCACAGTTCAATTTGAGACTATACCTAGGTAAGTAAAACAACCATAAAACATGAATGAAGACAGGAAGCGCCCTAGACAGATGAGAAGTGTATCTTAGACCCACAACCATGTTCATGAATACCAAACAAGTTATCTAGTTCTCAGAGAGTAAACCTCGCTTGAAGTCCAATGTCAAGCTATTGATCATGATTCATAATATATAGAGCAGAGGTTCAGCAAATTATGTAAGGAAAAAAAAAGGTTTGGAGCTCTGATGATAAGTATTGCTCAACCAGAACAATCTGTCACATCCAGATTCTGCATGATTAATGAGAATCGTATTCAGAAACTAGTGTGAGTACATAGAGCAACACACAATTTGATGGAGCTTATTGCAAAAGATATGTGATCAATAAAGACGATCTTATAGTTTAAGAGCACAAACCTCAATCATCTGGCTCCATTCCTTTCCTGCCAACTAGAAATAGAAACAAATTCATTAGGATCATAGCGGACAAATACAATCGGCCAACCGATGAAAGATGAAAACTTGATTGCTTTATAATACAAGGGAAAAGAAAAGTTAATCCATTTCCCTTGCCTACTTAGTGTCAATTTATATTTTGGTCCCTGTAATTTAATATACAGCCCATTCACAACCTAATACAGCAGCACATAATGCAACTGACTATTGCTTATAGGTATCTGAATTGACATACCACACACATTTTGCAACTATCGTAATTTTCCAATGCAAAAATTGACATTCCATGTCAATATTCAACACCAAAAGAAATTCATGACAACAATATAAATTTGTTGGAGCAATGGGGCATGAGTACCTTCAAATAATAAACATAAAGTCTAACATTTAGAACTAGATAAAATACAAATTTTAATAATAAATCTGCAATATATCCACAAAAATAACGGAGGAGGTTAAAAATACTATGTTGAGATTAAACAGTATAGGCTCAGGATTCAGGAAAAGGATCAGCGACGCAACAAAATGAGACTCATGAACGTGCAGAATGAAGGTTTCAGAAAGCAACATTGCACTGACCTTGTGCAGAACAACATCAAATGGACCTTGATCCGATAATGGCTGCTTTACATCAACAGCAATAAACAAAATTCCTTTACTTCTGCACCGTAAGAACAAAAAGCATATAAGCTTGAGCTAAGTAAAAATTCTCTTCTTATACAACGCCTATGAGACCCAACGAATGACAGCAAACTTTCATACACAGACAGGAAGTATGACAAACAGGACCAAATAAGAATGTGCCAGTGAAGAAAGGACATAAGCATGAATAAACATGTTAATTATTCTGCGCATCTCAATATATATTTGACTTCAGAACAACAAAGGAATAAAGAGTCAAGCCAGAGAAAGGAAAGAGAAACATTTTATTAGAAAACAAAAGACATTTTACTGAACAAATTAACTGTCCATCTTTATTTGAAATTACTAAAGAGTTTACATGTCAAACTAATTACAAATTACTTTACATTCATGTTAGCATGAAAAACCAAATGCAAAACAGAGATCAACACGTTAATATCCTTAAACATCACTCTGATAAAAATATTCTATTTCTGAAATTCTAAAACGAGGAAGGCTAGTAACTAAATTAATATCCAGTAAAAAGAGCAAAAGGAAAAAGAGAAAAAATGCACAGAGACATGGTGCTAACGAATTCCCAGATAAGGCAGTGGGCACAAGCATTGACGCAATGACCGTCACAAGCAATGAGGACGTATGAAGTATTGACTTAGAACAATCCATCATTAAAACAAATTTCATTGTCAAAGCATATATCAAGGAATATTCCCCAGAAAACAACTAGAAGAACAGATAAAAGATTCCCGATACCACATTTAACAGGAAAGGTCAAACAAAAAAAAATTCCTATGCAGGCCCATGCGCAATAATTTTACCACCTTTGACACGGACCCCAATTACTTCAATTTGCTGATCCAAATTAATTTTAAAAAAAAAAAAAAAAAAGTAGTTGACGCGACTCAGGCGAGCAAAACTACTCTTTTCTCTAATTCAATCACTCAAGAGAAAAAGGCAAAACTAGTCAACATTTTACTTTCTCCCGTGATAATTGATAAAATAATGACTATTAGAGCCAAAAAATAACAATAGAAACTACATTTAATGAAAACTAAAAATCTGCAATCTAAAAGCCAAATTGTTTTACTTAAGATTTTAAGCAAAAACTTGAAGCACGATAATCTATAAATTGTGCAACTGATAATCTATAAATTTATGAAAAGAGATAATCATTTATCTGATACAAATTGTGCAACTGAAAATTCGAACAAGCACGAGCCCATGATGCCTAATTAAAGATACTTATCTAAGTAAGTACTACAAGAACTCGAAATGCCGGAAAAAGAAATTACAGAGGCTGAGCTACCAATTCTTGTGAAGAAGGAAACAAAAGATCAAACTAGTGCAATACATACAAAACGATTAAATGCATATAATCGAAAATAATGAACGGGAAGGATTCTATACCGAGCTAATGCAAGAAGCTTGGGCTGCAAGAAGCTCTGCCTCTTCTTAGACGTGAGAGCGTAGCCGACGACGAGTCTCGTAGGCGGCGCTGTCGGCGTCGGAGACCTAATTAAACCTAGTTCGTTCTCTTTCCTTTCTCCGTCGCCGTCGTCGTCATCGTCAACGTTTGCAATTGAAATCTCTCCGTTCAACCTCATTAATATCACCCAATCAAAACGGAAAAAAAAAAAAAAAGGAAGAGAAAACAAAAAGGATTCCAATTCCAAAATTTCACCTAAACTAAAAGCCGCCGCCTATAATAGTTGCCCCGCCTCGATTAGAAAAGGAAAAGTCTAACGTATCGGCGGCGTCGAATTTGGCCGTTCTTGTCGATGAAATCTGCTTGTATATATATATATATATAGTACTACTAGGATATCTTTGGCACACAAGAGTTTAAACAGAGAATCTCGGCGGAATTAATATTATTGTTAAATTAGTAGTATATTAACCCAAAATCTGGAATTGTTTTCATGCATTAATCTTTTGCTTGGCAGCTGAGGAGGGAATAAAAAGGCCAGGAGGGATAGGATTAGCAGATGTAACACAAAGAGGAGAGAAAAGGAGGGAAGATGCTAATCTCCCATGTTCCGCTGCTCACTCCTACTAATACATCGCGCATCTGCCTGTTAAGTACCTCCTACTAATTTACTACTAAAAGAGAGAGAGAGAGGGTAGGATACATTCCGAAGCTGCGTCCCAGCGGAGTATCTCTTTTCCTTTACACTTTTGCCCCTTTTTATCTTCCTTTCCCAAGTTTTCTTTCCCTTGATGCTTGAGAGTGGGTCGGCCGTTGACATTGCGAGGCTTTCGAGCTCAATTTGACATGTGAAAATTACTTTTCGATTAAGACTGGACAATATATTTATTGCTTGTGTGTCTCTCTGGACAGTAGATTGTTTTAAAAATTATTTTTCAAAAACATAATATAATAAATTTTATGCATTTTTCGTGAATATTCATTCTACATAATTTTCAATCACTTTTTAATCTCACGTACACTGTATTCTAAAAAAAAAAAAAAAAAAGTAATATAGTTATATTTTTTTTTTGCCAAAAAAGTGCAATTCAAACAAGCTTCTTAGGTGCTTATTGAGTGTGACCTTGGAATGCCAAATGCTCGAGCACAGGCCCAAAGATTGTTTTATTGGAGGATGTCTTCAATTACATAAAGATACGAAGTTTATGATACTTTAAACAATGTAAGGCACCGTTTGTTTTGAAGGAAAGGATATCAGTGCAAACGAAAGTAAGGGAGAGTCGAGGAGAACAGTTGTCATCTAGTATCTCGTTTGGATTAAATATGGAAAGATAATACAGAAAATACTGATTTTTTATTTGGAATGAAAAATGAAAAGAAAGGAAAGGAAAAGATCCAAGTGTTAATTTATTAAAAAAAAGATAGGAAAATTTTAAATTATTTCAATTAATTTAGTTTCATTTTCCTACGTTTCTCGACCACTTTTGGACGGGAATCATAACCTAACAAAATAACTAAGACCTTTCCCTCTTTATCCTTTCCTTTCCCTTCTCAAAAATCAATCCAAACAACAAAAGGGTAAATCTCTCTAATTTCTCTCCTTTCCCTTTCCTCCCATTCATTCCCTCAATCCATACGGTGCTTTAGAGTCTGTTTTGATTGCAACATTCTTGGAGTTTTTTTAAAAGTATATATTGTACTATGTGAGGTTAAAAAAAAATATATGTTAAAATTTTTTTCTCAAAAACTCACTGTCCAAATGGAACCTTTTTTTAAAAAAATTTGTAACATGATGTATTTGAGATAATTAAACATTTGAAAAATATGTCTATGATGCGAGTAAATAATTGACTATTCAAACAAATCTTGCAATGCGTTTTTAATAAATACATGACCTAATGATTTGCAACATACTAGGTATAGAAATCAAACTTGAACATCACGGTATGAGTTACGGATAATGCTAGTTTATGTAAAATGAGCCACTGCCATTTTTATATTTGTAATGCTGGAGCGGGTAACGTTGATTTTTCTTAAACTTCATTCCAAAATCAATAAAAAAAAAAATCTCATCGAAAAAGAATATTACGTCAATATTTATAAGTTATGAGTCCTAATTGCATGCAATCAAAAAAAAAAAAATTTTTTTTTTTGTCACGTAAGCAATTAATATAAAGAAATACCGATTATCCTTTTGGATATTTATAATTCATTACCTTCTGGCAAGGCACATTTGTCAACTGAGCCATTGGCTAACAAATGATAATCAACAAACGCATCCCGCAGACGTTCCAGCCAGAATTTGAAATCAACTGCTCCTAACTTGCAGTGTTGCAAGACTAGATTATTCGCCTCCTTATATTTTGTTAAATTTGATAATTATTTTGGACGGATAGAAAATTATTAAGTAGAATTCTTTTTAACCCTCACATGACACCCTTTGAATCTCAGGTACTATAGGATTCGAAGCGTGAAGATGGAGTAAGCTACCTCGCAAGGAACTCGTGAAGCACTTAAAAAACCGTTAAAGAGATTTGATTTGACGTACCACTTAAAACGTCCAAAAGAGCACGTTTTCTGAATGGAATTGGCTCCCAATTTCTGTGGACGGCCCGGAACCCAATAAGTCCCGTAAACAAACTACTACTGTACTAGTATTAAGCTCCTTCACTATCTGATATTGATGACTATTCCGTTAGTATGTTGATAACAATAAATACAAACTTGATTTTCACTCTTCCTTGTTCAAGAGCTTTGATGCTTGAGCAATTCTTACAAAGTAAAGCGACTAATCAGGCATTAAACCACTGGTGGAGGAGACCGTAGATGTTCCTTAGTGGTCCAGCATGGATTTTGGATTTCTCTATAAAAAAAAATACATTGAAAGTAGGTGACACGAAGAAAACGAGGCGGAGGATAGATCCAAGTCTTAAGCTGATAAAATGGTTTCAATGCTACAAGGAGGCGTATCGCTGGTTAATGGGATCCAAGGTCCCAAACATGCACTACCGTGTTTGGATAGGCATTATTTGCGAAAATTTTTTTAAATTACGTTTTTTTTTTAATCTTTTCAATCATCTCTTTATCTCATACACACACACGTATATATATATATATATATATATATATACATACTCCATTCATCTCAATTATTTTGTCATGTTTCGAGAATCCAATATTTTAAAGAGAGTCGTTTGATTGTAATATTTTTGTTCCTCCTTCTAATCTTACCCCCATAAATTTAGAGTTTAAATTTGAACGGTAGCATGTACATGATTAAAAAGGGAGGAACTACATTGAAAGGAAAGACTTAAAAGTGCTTTAGTTTTTTCAACATGATAAACATTTTGAAACATTTCAAAATTGAAAGTATGACACTCTCAATGGGGTAGGAGGAGTATATTTTTTTGTAAGTGAGAGGTCTTAAATTCGAGATCTCTGATTTATGAACCCTCCCACCATACCACCCAACTAACTCTATTCTCATATCTCACAATACATTCTATAACAAAAAGTGTTACAGCGAACGTGTTTGTGTTTGGATAGAAGTTTATTAGAAATATTATTTAAAATAATTACTATAACATTTTTCATAATATGATGTATGCGACATAAAAAAATTACTGAAAATATAAAAAGGCATGTTAGAAAATGTATTTATAATGCAAGCAAATAATAGCAATCCAAATTCTCAAAATATTATTCTAAGTAATCTCCTATACAAGGTGTTACCGTCATTTCCTTTCAACATGGCAGCTTCTTAAAGAAGACCTATGTCTAAACGGTTTCATGCCCAAAATCTTAAATAAATAGGAATTCTGCTTGGAGTACCTAAATTTTGCAACCACCAAAAAAAAGTCGTTATTGAAAAGTTTTGAGACCATCAGACTTTTTTTTATTTATTTATTTATTTAACAAATGTGTATGAGTATATGTTAATATGCTTAAACGCACATATAAAATCATATGAATGCATATCATTTGGATTGGCCTTTTTTTTTTTTCAAAAATAAGTTTTTCAAATACAATGCTACAGTCATATACAATATTTCAAAAAACATTTCATCCATACAATATATCAAATATTTCAAAAAAATTTTATCATATACATTGTTATAGTAATTTTTTTTTAAAATGCCCCTAAAAATAACTAATCCAAACGGATAATTTTTCGATATTCAATTTATATACTTTTACTATTTAATTTTATTTTTCTAAAATATCAACACCTGAAACCCCTCTACCTGCCACGGTTAGACAGACCCTTTTTCATCTCTCCTTTTAAATAAAGTTCAAGAAGCATTAGAGCAGCGACCTGCTAACGGTAAAAGGTTGTTGGTCGTTAAATTTGGAGTGGTACCATACGAAAAGGTTGTTGGCCGTGGAGTGCTACCCTACAATAGTCCTAATAGGACCACAATTTTTAAATGTGCATGAACTTCGAATCGTCAATGCTTGCCACCAGCACGAGCAGCCATAATGGTCAGGACTTGGGAGTTGGGACGGCACTGATTAACTGCTCATAGGTTTGAACCCTTCTTCCGTCTGCAGAATAGTCTAATAATGCACTAAACCCTACTTACTGTTGTTGCTGCTGACTTAGTAAACCTCAAAACCTTGTCCAACATTTATATACAATTCTTAAAAAGAGTCTTGAGGCTTGACGGTGATTTCAACTATAGTCCCCCTTAAGCATCATCAATTAGTGTAATAGGAAGAAACTCTGCTTATTTAAATTGATTATTGTTCGTCTTCATCCCTCTGAAACTTGTTTGATCTCTTGACCCGAACAAATTCAAGATCACAATTCCAAGAAAGGAAAATGGCACTCGCCGGGGAATACGCTGCCATGTGCAATCAGACGTTGATCATGACAAAACCGGGCGTTACACTGAAGAAGACTCTTTCTGGTGCTCCGGTTCCTAGTAAAAGAGTTTGCTTTAGTGCCTTGAAGTTGAAGAATTATCACAAGGCTAGACTTGGAGTAAAAGCAGTGACTCAGATAGAAGTAGGATCGACTGCAACTACTGAGGGTTCAAGGGATTTGAAGGGATTGGAAGGCACTTTGGAGCTTGATTTGGTTTCAGAAGGGGAGTTAAGGGAGAAAGGATTCATGGGGTTGAGGAAGACCAAACTCGTTTGCACAATAGGTCCCGCTTGTTGCTCTCTGGAGGAATTGGAGAGGTTGGCATTGGAAGGGATGAACGTGGCACGGCTAAATATGTGCCATAATACAAGGGAGTGGCACTTGGACGTTATAAGGAAGATTAAGAAGTTGAATGATAAAGGCTATTGTGTAGCCGTGATGATTGATACCGAAGGAAGCCAGATAAATGTGGTTGATCATGGAGCTCCTTCTTCAGTCAAAGCAGAGGTAATATAGCAAATCTTGTCATAATAATAAATGATGTGCAGTTGCTAAGAGTAATTTAACGAAAATACCAGAATATATTATGAGATTTTGCAAGTTTCATGGTAATCTCATCTTTAATTGCTAGGACGGATCCATCTGGCACTTCACTGCTGAAAAGTTCGATGGTTCTCGTCCATTGACCGTTCAAGCGAGCCGTGAAGGATTTTCTGAAGGTTAGCCAGACTACCTTGCACTTTCATGCTACGTGGATGAAAGTAGGAAAAAGATTTTTCAGGTCATTTTTAAGTTTTTGTTTCAGGTGTTGAAATAGGTGATGAAGTTGTTATTGATGGAGGAATGGCAACTTTCGAGGTTGTTGAAAAGATTGGGAATGATTTGCGATGTAAGTGCACAGATTCTGGTCTACTGCTGCCTCGAGCTAAATTGAGCTTTTGGAGGGATGGGGAGCTTGTACGGGGGAATTACGAACTTCCAACATTATCTGCAAAGGTCAATTCCCCAATTCTGTTTACCATGTCGCATCTGGTTTTTATTATTATTATTATTTTGTGTTGGAACTTTTCGCTTGCTATTGCCGTCTCATCCTATGTTCTCTTCAGTCAAGATATTCTGTCCCTGTCCTGCTACTTCTTCTTTGTTAAATTCGTTAAAGTATCCTTTTTCCTTGAAAAGGAAAATGCAGTTATTATTTCTGATCATATCTGTAATTCGAAGTTTATAATTTCAGGATTGGTCAGACATTGAGTTTGGAGTTTCGGAAGGTGTTGATTTCATTGCTGTATCATTTGTCAAGGATGCTGAAGCTATCAGGCATCTGAAGAGCCACCTTTCCACCAAGTCTGCCAAGTGAGAGAATTTCTGAAGAAGGAAATTTGGAATCTTATAGGGCAAAAGGTTTTTTAGTCTTTAAAACATGCTTCAACCATGAGGATCATCCCATTTTATTAGCAACTGATCTGCATGTCGTCTTTGCTAGAAATTGTGGTACTTGATCCAACTCAAATGTCTCTTCATAACTTTAAGCTAAGGCCCGAAAATTTTATCAGTTTCGTTAAAATCGTCACCGTAGGTGTATATTATTGTCTAAAGAAGCAAAGCATTTCCCTTTTTAAGGTGTAAAAACCTTGCTATGTAGGTACAATAATGCTCGTCTTCCTGGAGTTTAAAAATGTGTCGTTCTGTCTTAATTACAGATTAGCTAAAGTCTTGGCAAAGATAGAATGTGTGGAATCTCTCCAGAAGTTGCAAGAAATTGTTGAAGCTTCCGATGGAGTCATGATAGCAAGAGGGGACCTTGGAGTTGAGATTCCTCTTGAACAGATTCCGTCAATGCAGGAAAAGATAATTGAAGTCTGCCGGCATCTCAACAAGCCTGCTATCGTAGCGTCTCAACTGCTGGAGTCAATGATTCAGTATCCTACTCCAACAAGAGCTGAGGTACCATAATCTGTTGATGTTTAAGAAAAACATGAAGCACTATTTAGATGATCAATATGTGCGAATTCCTTCTCTTATGCAGTTGATCTTGGAGGACGTTCTTTACTTCATTTTGTGTGTTCTTAAGTGATGTTTTGAAATGGGAAAGTTGAAGATTCAGTTGCATGCTAAAGCATTGATTGATAATGTCACCATGTCGTAGGTTGCTGATGTTTCTGAAGCAGTTAGGCAGTATGCTGATGCAGTGATGCTATCCGGCGAGTCTGCTGTTGGCTCCTACGGGCAGAAGGCTCTCTCTGTCTTGCGTACAACTAGCAGTCGAATGGAATCATGGGGCCGTGAGGAGAGCATGCAAGCTCATCTGAACCAATCAAAGCTCAGATTATCTTTGTCAGACCGAATTGCTGAGCAGATCTGCAATTGTGCAGCAGAAATGGGTATTTCATTCTCTCTCTCTCAAAATTAATTCATTGATCAACCTAAAATTCTTAGGTTTTAATCATCATACGATCCTCTTTAACTCTGACACTCCCCAAGCATTTTGATGGATGACGTTGAGGAAAATCTATATTGGCTTGTGAAACCAGTTCGAGGGCAGCACTTACTAAATAAAGTTTCAAAAGCCATGAGTTTCATTTCTGCATTCTTCCTCAAGGAACCTTAAAAAAAGGATTTTTTTTTTTTTTTTTTAAAGAATGTTCTCTTTAATTATTTCTGCAGCAAACAACCTGGGTTTGGATGCCATCTTTGTTTATACAAGGCATGGAGAAATGGCAAGTCTCCTGTCTGGAAACAGGCCAAATCCTCCCATATTTGCATTTACAAGTGACAGGGGCGCCAGGATGGCTCTGAGTTTGCAGTGGGGAGTTACTCCCCTTCTGATTGATCTATCAGATGACATGGAAGCTAACACTGAAAAAACCATCAGCCTAATAAAAACCAAAGGGCTGATAAAGGAGGGAGATACAGTTTTGGTTATTTCAGATGTCATTCCATCATGTGCAACACAAACATTATTGTTTCAATCAATCCAGGTGAAAACTGTTGCCTAGAGAACATTTTCCTCTATACAACAGTCTTAAGATTCTGGGAAAAGGCGTGGCAGTTGCCACATTTATGAAAGGATTCGATGGCCTGCATGGATTCGAAGTTGCTATTTCGCTGTGATAAAGCAATCAAGAACCCACATTCATTTCTGTATACTAGGAGGCATAAACGCACTTCGTGCGATGGAAATGTAAAATGCCCTGCCGAGTTTTGTATAGAGCAAAAAGCAAAATATATCAAGTATAGAAATTGTAATTTATGTAGAAAAAATATACCGATTATTAGTAAAATCTAAAATGAATGGATCTTTAAACATGTAGTCTATGGAGTTATGTCTATTCAATAATTTGTTTTGCATATGGAAACTATTTGCAAAAGAAATCACAATAATTAATTATTAGTTAAAAAAGAAAAAAAGGAATTAAAAAAGAAAAAAAAGGACATCAAAGTTATCCAAGAAACACTTCAAACATTCACTATCAAATTTGTTTGTTGCTTCTAGTTAGTGAATACACGAGAATGGGATACCAAACACCTAAAATTCATATTTGAGATAGCATAGTTCATCAGACAATGTAACTAAATATTAGGAATGTCTCGACCAAATGTGCTTAATTGTGCGTGGTTAATTGTTCAGTTGAGCGTTTTCTATGAAATTGAAAGGAGTAGAGCTTTTTCCATGCTATGCTGATTGTGGACTTACCCATATCGAGCGTATGGGCTATCATATTCACTCGGAATCACCGCCAACACCTGCACCTGCACCATCACCAGCAACAGGAGTGGCAACAGAGGAAATGAGAGCACGAGGGGAAGTACTCTCTACTTATTGTACTGTTTAAAATTACATGTACTCATCAAGCCTATGGGTCGAATTAATCAAAACTGTAGTATCTACGTCCGACACAATAGCCATTTCTTTGGTCTCTCTTCTTTCCCAGTAGAAAACCCAGGCAGCCTTTCAACTGACTCATTCTTGTGGAGATTATATACCATCCATATTTGTACAAAGTACTTTGTTTCAGAAAATACTCTATAAAGACAAAAATAATGCTTGTAAACCACATTGTTATACCAAAGAACTTCCAAATTGCTCATCCACAGAAGCTACGACATATCCCGTGCAGAAAACACACTCAAGTCCGGCAACAAAATTGACATTGCACGTAAACAAAAATTGTTGGAAACAAGTACCACATCATCATTTTGTCAACATTACTTTCACTAAACACAAAACTGAATGGCCAGTGGCCCTACTAATATTGCAAAAAATACCAAATCTGCACTAATTTGAAGTCTATGAGGGGAAAAACAGATTTTCAAGTCTTTAATTGTTTAAGCGATAAACAAACGGAGAGAACTCCAACACAGTATGAACTTAGTAACCCCTTTGAGATCATTGACCACATCATATGGAATTGGGGTTACAGTCTCTAAAGTTGCACCTTCTACCACGAAACCAGGTTTGGGGCCTTCAGGTTGCCTCTTGGTACTGATGACCTCACCTCTTGCCTTTGCTGCAGCCTTCAATTCATCATTTCTCCTGATTCTATACTTGATTTCCTCGTTGCATCGAGAAGGCTAAACATGCTCTACGCAAACATGAATCCTCATCCTGATAATCCTGTTACCAACCTGCAGGTAAAATTCGTGGAAGCAAAGATCAGCTTGCTTTCAAGATAATGGGATATAAAGTAACAATGTCATGATGATGTGTACAAAAATTTCACTATTAGAAACCAGGATGTTGATCAATGATGCAGAAGGAAGCAGAAGACAACCTAAACATTCTTGGGTCGCTCCTAATAGGTGTATCATGTATCTCATACATCAATAAAGCAACAGGGAGTTTAGTAAATGAAACTCATGCAGCTCCTTGAACAGTGGCTATTAGTGAAAACAGAAAAAGTAATGGCATGATATGGCATCTTGCAGTCTGCAGGAGCTAATTTTTATAACACACTCAAAATTATGCTACTGATCTCATCAGTTGAAATAGAACATCTATTTCAAGTTGAATTCATTTATTCTTTTTAAGCTTTTTCATATTTGTTCTTTGGGCTGTCTAACAAGTATTATACACAAATCTAATACAGAAGATTAGAATAGAAGATAAGTGCCAATGACTATCTTATGCCTTACTGATTAATAGATTAACACATTGTTCTCAATGGAATGGAATAGGAAAATATTTCATGAAACCCATGCTCACAGTCTCACCAGATAGGAAAAAAGCACAAGTACAATTTGTTTTGTGCGGTAGTCTATCTCTGAGGTTCTGAGTAAGCCAACTAATTGGGTTCAAATTGAACATTAACCTGACGTTTTACATAAGTAATTGTACTTCGAGTCAACATTCTGATAATTAGAATAGATGTTACATGTTAAGTTAATGCATAACACTTAGCAGCTGAAGACAAGGAAATTAATGCAAAAAAAATAGAACACTTGCCCAAAGAGATGTCCACCCAAATTGCACCTCTGAATCATAACCAGTTTTAAATTTTAAGTCCTTGCCAACTGTGTGCTCCAATCATTTGAATCAAAATTAGACCTGTACCTGCACATGTGGAATATCAGAATAAAATAATATATCAACGTGAAAAATCGAAACACATATCAATGGTAACGACAAAAGTTACGCAGATTGCCTCCATCACCTAGTGGCTTCCTTCTCTAGTTAGAAGCACATCCCACCATTTTAAGGTTTACTTATAAGAAGCAAAAAACATTTATTTCTATGTCCTAATCATCATAAATTCATAAGAAACTCAGAAGCAATTCTTTGTGGATTGTAAGCTGATTATACATAGGATAATAGCATTACTTGCATTAAGCATCACAGGCAAAAATAAAATATGCAGGAAAATAAACAAGAAATCAACCCCTGCTTGCTAGAATTTAGTCAAATTTAGAAAATGCAAAAACATTATACCGAAATTTAATCCACTATCAAGTATCACAATAGAATTCCTAAGGCGGCTTTCTAAATCTCTGCTATTCCAAAAGATCCAAGTCATCTCCTCAAGCTTAATACATCACATTACATAATAAACAAGCATATTAATCACCAATGCAGAAATACCCTTACTGCATTCTATAATCACCGAAAAATTTTGGAGAGTCTGCTTTATAAATGCAGGTGAGCATTCGACAACTTTACAAATCAAAAAGTCAAAAGCATATAGGAATTGCAAGAGACACGGACCAAAAAAAATTTTCTTTACAGATCAAGAGGGTAAAACCAGATCTAACCAAAAAAAAAAAAAAAACCACCGCCACCAAGAGAATGAAAATATAAAGTCATTATTTGTCTCATAAGACCTGATGTTCTCTATATTGACAACAAGATAGAAGCAAAATTAGATAAATAAGATTAATGGAATACATAAATTTCCAATTTTTAAGCAAAATTGTAGAAGTACAAAACTTCTTTCTGAGACTTGCAAAACCCAAGCCTGTAGCCCAAAGAACCTACAGCATTTAATTTGCCACAATTGAAGACATACTTAAAGAAACCAAGGTACCATATATTTCCTTTTTTCAGTGCTTAGGCAGACACAAACATACAGAGTTAAAGAAAATCAAGCGCACTTCATAGAAAAGATGGATTCTTTCACATCTTGCTAAGTACTTCAAACGTACACCAGTCCAATGAACAACGTTTGCAAAGCAGCATCTTTAAGGGGTTTTAAGCGGCTTTCAAATAGAGCCATGAAAAATCAGTGTTATAAAATTTAAGACCATAATTACTCAAAGGCCAAAGGAGCAACAATACCACAACTTTTGGGATGGCCTGCACGGGTAGTTTTAGTATGAGACGCCTCTATGACCTGGATCACAGAGGTCCACCGAGGAAGGGAACTATGGATCTCAGACACACGCAGAGGCTCCATGGGTAGCTAGAAAAAAAAAAAGGGAAAACAGGTTCAGAACCTGAGAGAATTCAATTCTATAAGCGCGCTTAAGAGCAGCAGAGGTCGAATGTATAACATGACCAAAAGAAAAGGGAAATACTTTAGAACGAACAAAAGAGGAGCAACGGAAAAAACATGCATAAAGTTGCGCCAATGTAAAGTTCATATAACTGTATTAGAAGCATAAGACAGCATGATGTTATAGCCACATCATCAGGCAATCTCAGAAATACAGCTCATAATCGTCCAATGGCCAACGACATCGCAGTAAGCGAGTTTTTTATTAACTAAAAAAAAACCAATAAAGTATCAGAGAGCATGATAGCTAAAGGGGCAAAAGAAAGGCAGTTCTCCCTCTAATTCATCAATTAAACTGAAATCCAAAAAAGACAAAAACTTTATCGAACAACAACAAAAAAGCATCAAAATTTCTCCGAGTGTAGGGAAAAAAAATATCAAGAGGTAGGGGAAAAAAAGCCAGTTAAGTGTGACAGACCATGATAGCAAAAAAGCAAAAAGAAAAGCACATTTCCCTCCAATGCATCAATTAAACAAAAAATCCTAAAAAGACAAAAGCCCCAACCTTGACCAAGTAGACAGGAACCAAAAGCATCAAAATTTGCTGCAAACGATGACGATGATGATGAAAAAAGAAACAGATTATCTATAGATAGGCAAAAAAGAAAAAACCAATAAAGTATCACAGAGCACGATAGCAAAAAGGTCAAAAGGGAAGCAGATTCCCCTCCAATTCATCGATTTAACCAAAATCCAAAAAGGCAGAAAATGATCAAACAACAACCAAAAACAACAAAATTTCTCTAAGTGAAAAAAAACCTAATTATCTAAAGCTAGGGGAAAAAATTTAAATGCACGAGGTAAAACCACTGTAAAGGAGCAGATCCCTAGGTGTAAGAATTGGAACAGACGGCAACACAAAAAAGAGAAGAACCGGAAAAAAGGACATGCAAGTTTAAAACTAATTTCAGCTAAAAGAGAAAAGCAGTTCTCCAATACGGATAGAAACAAACTAATTTGGTTAATCAAGTTAATCAACCATGAACTATTGAAATATTCGGATTTTTTTAAAATGTAAACATCACGATGTTATAGGCACATTATCAAAGAATCTCAGAAATATAGGCCTTGACCATCCAATGGTTGGCGACATTGCAATAAACGAGGGGCAAAAAAGGGGCAATAAAGTTTCACAGACCATAATAGCAAAAGGGGCCAAAAAAAAAGGGTTCCCTCCAATGCACCAATTCAAAAAATAATCCCAAAAAGGCAGAAACTTTACCAAGCAACAACAAAAATTCAAAATTTGTCTAAATGATGATGAAAAGAAAACCAAATTATGTAGAGACAGGCATCAGCAACAGACCAAGAACAGAGAAGAGGAACAAAAAACAGAAGGGTTTATTTTTTTGGTCAAGGGACAGTTCCCTTTTATTTTCTGGAGCACAAGACAATATAGCAAAAGGTGGGGGACCAGAAGGGGAGGGAAAAAGTGCAACACTCCACAGACAAAAAGCATCACATGACAAAACGCACCAGACACTGGAACAACCCTGGAACAACCAGGAGGGGCAAGATCGTACCTTGGTTCGAGAGAAAAAACAGAAGGCCTGCGTTCGGGATGGGGAAAAAGGTAAAAGACGGCAACTCCTTGGCCTGTAAGGAAACAGTTCCAAGAATCACTGAAAGAGTAAGATAAGAAGATGGCTCGCATCAGTGGTGAACATAAGCTATATAGCAGACATTGGCAGTTCATTTGCCGAAACCACTCAGACACGAGGCAATAGGACGATTCAAAATGCTCACAAATGCACACGTAGCTAGAACCAGTAAGAGAACAGAACCCAAGTCTCCCAAATACACGAGCCGGAGCATACCTTGCAAGAAAATATTCTCAAATCAAGCAACACAAGATAACATAACATAACATAACATAAGATAAAATAAGGAAAAAATGAGGAAAAAAAAACACACAACCACATAACTGGCTTTACTAAAGTTTGCAACTTTCCGGGAGCCGGAGCATACCTTGCAAGAAAATATTCTCAAATCAAGCAACACAAGATAAGATAACATAACATAACATAAGATAAAATAAGGAAAAAATGAGGAAAAAAAAAACACAACCACATAACTGGCTTTACTAAAGTTTGCAACTTTCCGGCGAGCAAAATAGTAAATCTAGAGGACCTAAAGGATCCAAAAACTAAAGAAGACAAAAAAAAAATTCAAAGAAAAAAAAAAGAAAACTCGCACAGAAAACCGCAACTAATCGTAAAGGAAGATCAAGAAGACTTACAACGGAGGAGGAGGAAGAGAAGCGAACGGGCGGCAGCTGATCTCGACCACTGAAACCTAGAATTGGCCGATGTCTGGCTATACGGGCCTTGTGCGGCTGCAAGAAGGGGAGAAAAACCAAAAAAAGAAAAAGGAAAAAACATGAGTCTCAAGCTCAGGACCAAGTAGAAAGCTCACGGCAAAGGGTGGGAAATGAACGGCCAATGTCTGGCCACACGGGCCTTGTGCGGCTGCGAGAAGGGGGGAAAAAAAACTCAAGCTCAGGATCAGGTAGAAAGTTCACGGCAAAGGCTGCATCTCACCGAAACGGAAAAGGAAACGGGAAAAGGGAAAAAAGGAAAAGGAAAAGGAAAAGGAAGAAAGCTCACCACGGAAGAAGAGAAGAGAAGAGCAAACCCCAAAGCCACAGTTTAAGCAACGAATGAAGAGAACCGGATATCTGAGCAGGGCAGTGAAGCAGGCTTAGAAGCAGCATTGTCCAAAAGAAGGAGAGAGAGAGAGACGGTAGCGGTAAGAAGAGCCATGTGATAGTCCCGGACAGAGAAACAAGTTTACCAGATAGGCAGCGCGGCAGACAACGCAGCAGGAGGCACATGGGATACCGTCAGAGGAGAAGAGGCGCGCAGTGCGCGAAGAACACAATGTTTTCAATCCACATGCGCGGCACGTGAGAGGACGACGAAACTCTGGCTGAAGGGCGTTCGCACTTTATCTACTTATGTTGATGAATGTCTTGCCTTTATTATTATTATGAGTTAGAATTTTCGCGTTTTAATTATGTACACTTCAAAAATTGTTTGAATCGATTATGGATATTCTCGACTTCTCGATTATGTACGCTTAAGGTATGATTCTGCATTATCGCGTGCTTCACGAGGCCAGCAGCGTACAAAAGAGAAAATCGAGGAACACAACCCAACCACTATTATTTTGTTTCCACCTTTTTCTTTTCCCGGTAGAATCTAAAATCAAACGCTGCAGCATGAAACCAATGGAAAGAACAAATGGAGAGGGCTTTTTGTCCCGATTGAAAGTGTTAATTGCCGTTTGGGTTGCTATTTATTTTAAAAAAATTTTTTGTTAAAAACAATGTATTTTAACGATCTGATATATATGAAATAAAAAAAATAATTAAGAAATGCGTACACAAAAATATAAAAATTTATTGTTAAAAAATTACATTCCAAATAAGGTTCTTGGCCATACACTAAAAGCGTTAGCAAATTTTATGCTCTTCCAATCATTCAAAGTTTTCCCTTCTGTGCCAAAAGATTATGGAAATATTCAGGCTCAAGGCAGCGAAATAATCTGCAAACAAATTGCTGTTCAAATTCATAGAATTGTTTTTCCACATCCCCCCTTTTTTGGGTACAGGGGATTTTTTTTTTTTTTTGTCGAAACGATAGAATTCTTATAAGCTAATTTATTCTAATCTAGGAGAAAGGAGAGGGAGATTCGATGATGTGAATAAAGACTCTATCGAATAAAACCAATTAAAAGGATTACCAAAACAATGTCTCTCTCTGTTTTTTTTTTTAGTAATAAGAGGATGGCATGAAATGAAATAGTTAAGGCAGTACATGACATACTTGTCTGGGGAAGGAAACACCCCTGGCTCAAACCATCACACAAAATAGTTCCTAACTGAGGAGGACATTGATGATGAAGTGAAAATTTTGACAAAAGACTTCCACTCTTCTTTTCTTTGCAAGCAAAATCAGCTCCTAAATCAGCTTCTCTGTAAATATGCTTAACTTTGACTCGCTGGAATGGAACGAAGCCGCCAAAGTCCTGCAGTCATGCAAACTGACTTCACAATGAGTTAGTAATCAGTAGTATTAGAGACCGCGTAGTTAAAATGACTGCACAATCAAACTCTGCAGCCAGCTTATTAATGCCAAGTTCAAGTTCAAGATCGTCACGCAATCCCCAATATTCGGCAACTAAAGTTGTTGTTACTCTAGAGAAACCCTTGATGATCCAACAACCATTGTGGTCCCGTATAAGTCCTCTGCAACCTTTCAAGCCCCAATTTTCTGAGACGGATTCATCAGAGTTCATTTTGAACCATCCAAAAGATGGTGGTTCCCACGCAATACGAGACAGTTTTCTGGGTGGGGGTCCAGGAAAGAAAATTCTACGGCCATGTTTACGACGCAGGTGAAGGAATTTCTTTGATGGTTCAAAAATTCTTTTATTTCTGTGCTCTATTTGTCCACAGAGTGCAGCAAGAGAGAGCAAAATAGTTCCCCATGTGGTATCGTATTAAAGGAAGAGGAAAAGGTACGAACAGTGCATCCTTGATAGAGCCGGGTATCAAAATAATCTTCCCAGAGTGTCCTCAATGCATTTTGTTTTCCGGTGATTGTGATTTCTCAAATGGCTTTTTATTGATGGTCAAAACTAGCATCGGAGCATTTTTTTTTTCAATAAAAGAGCATTTGTTAAGCCATTATGATTAGAGTGCATGCTATAATTTTTTTTTAAAAAAAGAGAAACAAAAGAAAGATGCAAACCAAGATGGATTCTTCCCAAATTTTGAGCACGTTTTTCCTCACGAAACTCAAATTGGCCCACTTGATTGATATATTTAAGAAAGTTATTTTTGGAATGCAGTTTTCTAAGAAAAATCTTCACGTCTTTCACGAACATATTTTCTAATTACCTTTAAAAGTGTAAAAGAGTCTAAATAAGGTGAATGTCCTAGTATTCAAACTTGTTTAATTATATTGTTAAGTTTGAATATTTATTTGAATTTGGTTTGTTTACTTCTCAAATCGAGTTTGAATGAGTATTTATGGAACCAAACTAGAGTCGGATTTGAGTAGTTTAAAATTTCATTTATATGCTAATTAAGGCGAACTTGAAAGTTTATCAAACATAAATTCTTGTTTAAGTTTGGTTTGATTAACCAGCGAATTAAACTTGAACAAGCTCTTACTGAATTGAGCTCGAATATCAAGTAGTTTGTTCGTCTTTGAAACCTAGCTTATATACATCGAATTGCTATAATGCATTTTTCTATAAAATTCCCAAAAATAACAATCAAAACAAGACCTAATCTCTTTTACACTAATAGTATATACATTATTAGTTTAAAATAAATGACAACTAATGTAACTTGAAACTTAAAATTCAAAATTTGAATATGTATCATGTATATAATTGTGATAGTATATACATTATCAGTATATATCAAATTTATTTTTCTCACATCCTGTTTGAATTGCAATTTTCTGCAATTTTTGTAGAAAATATATTATGATGATTTGATATATATAAGATAAAAAAATTATTAAAAAATGTGTTTACGAATAACATAGAAAAATTTTGGTGGAAAATGGATTTCCAAACAAGGCTAGTAGGCTACACACACTTCCCAAGTGCTAATTTACTGTATCACACAAACATTTATCTAATACAGTCCAACTTGAAAACTACGTAGTTTTGTGTCCTCATAGTCATAGCCACCACCTCATGTTTTAGAAATTCTGGAAAAACTGCAACCACAAATTTGGCGCGCAAAATAGAGAACAGAAACACGAAAATTCTAAAATATACCGCCTAAGTGATGCCGTAAACAGTCACCCCACCGTCTTCGTCACTTCTTGCTCTTCTTTCTCTGTCACTCACGGTGGAACTAGTCCTGCTAGGAGTAGTAGTTGGTAAATCAATCACGACTTGCTGTTCTGTTCTTCCTTTTCAAAAGTCCGTGTTGAACTTCCTATTCCACTAAATTCCAATTCTCCAATCAGATTCCGATAAAAAAAAATGGCGACTTTACATAGTATATCATTAAAATCGAGCATTTCTCCGTTTTCAGTTTCTCAATCGAGGCAGGGTTTTCCTTGTAAATGGAGTTTTCTGTGCTCCGAGCTGGATTCCAGAAACTCAGGAAGAAAGAATTTTGGAAGCCGAAGCAAGAAATTGAGCCTGAGAATCTTGATCAGAAGGAGGCTTAGCGTTTCCTGTAACGTTAAAGAGAGCGATAATCAAAGCAATGGTAAAGTAACAATTTTCCTATTAGTTATCTTAAATGAACCTTTTTTCCCCTTTTGAGTACCCTTATTCCGTATAATATACGTATATGAGCATATCCTGCGAATGTATGTATGTACATTCAGATGAATCTACATGTATATGTATTTAATTCAAGAGTAAGGATTGATAGATTCTTAGCATCTCGTTATTGGTTTCTTCGTTTCTGGTTACTGAAGTATTCCATCATCATTTATTTTGGATTGAAATTCATATTTGTAGCATTGAACATGACGTTTTTAGAATATTAATACTACTAGAGAGTTGAGTTATACTATTGTTTTTGGTCGATGGATGATTGGTGAACTGTACTGCCATCTACTTTGCCTGTCGGTTGCTATCTTATCGGACCACTGATGCTTGATGTTCCGAATTTCCTATTGGTTTCAGGGGAAGAACCTCCTGAGTCATTGTTTATGAAAGAATTAAAGAGGCGGGGCATGACTCCTGCTTCATTGCTTGAGGAAAAAACTAAAAGCGGCTATGTAGGTCAAGAAACAACGTCCAGGGAAGAAGATGGAGGTTTCTCGCGAGCAAATGCTGTGTCTACAAATCCTGAGAGAAACCTAACCAATCAAAGAGAACAATCTATGGCACTTAATAGTGAAGGCCTTGAGGTTGGTCTTGAATTTTACTTCACTCTTTGTATTTAGTTGGTATAGCTCAAAGCTTCTGTTTGTCTTGGAAAATTTTGGTACAGGTCTCAGCTAAACACCTGTTAGGTGTTCCTTTTTTCATCTTATGAGAGCACTGATCAGGAAAACCCACTGTCCTGTTTCTTCTTCATGTTTGACAACAGTTATCTGATTAACATCCTTAAGTTGGATTAGAGTTTTGTCCATGTCATTGTCCGGTTAATTCTTCTACAGCTTATTAGTTGTTTGTCTTTGATCTAATATGTCTCCAAATTCCTTTACCTGCTGAGATCCCAACAATTTGATTATATATTTGAACCAAGGATAATGTTCCTGTTCTATTAAGTACAAATACCGGGCTTGACTAAATGTCGTGAAACTTACTTTGATGAGACAGTTTGGAATTTCATATAAAAATAATACTCCACGCAATGTCATAGGAAAGGATAGTTGTTCCAAGTACCAGATCCTGCTTATGAAGAAACTCTCATTATTTCATTAATCATTTTCGTTATTTGATCTCACTAAGCAATTTGTGGTTTCATTGTGCTCTGTTATATAAATCTTGTTCAACAAATCAAAGATTGAAGATTGCTATTCTCCTTGCCTGCTTGTTCAAGTGTGTTTGGAGTGATGGGCATCATCGTCTGTATGTCTCTACACAGGGTTTGATTCCACGGGCTAGACTTTTGCTTACGCTTGGAGGAACATTCTTTTTGGGGTTTTGGCCATTGATCCTCATAACTTTTGCCTTCTTCTCTACTCTCTACCTGGTAAGTCTTCCATTTTGATCTTTGTGAAGTGCATAATTTCATCTCTACCAAAAAGTCAAGTGTAATAGGTTGTGCTTTAATTCAAAGTGTGATAACTTTCCACTTGGTTGATGACGTTATGATTATCTGGAATCCTTAGATAAATTGTTTTTATCAATCAGATGAGCCAAAGCCTCTTGGGAATCTTATGGCATACAGATAGGCAAAAAGGAAGCATTGATTGCTAGATCCTCTGAGTTATTTCCTGGACTTGAAAGTGGTGTATGATATTGGAATTATCAAAAGAGCAACCAAGAAAATTTCAAGACAAGAGAAATCAAGAGTAAAAGATTAGAAAGGAAGAAAAGTATTTGCTGATTTTTTGGGGTCTTTTTTTAACTTTTATTGATAGTTGCCGGGTTGGAATGGTTCATTTGCCCAAAAAAAAAAAAAAAAAAAAAATCTTGTTTGATGATGGTGGCCAAACTGATGCACAGAAGGTAGAGATTTGGTATTGCTATATTAAGCAATTTCTGAAAGAGTTGTTTCTCAGAAAATTGCTTAGAAGAATAAGCTCAGGAATGCTGTATTTTTGGACAGATCTTCCATAGGTAGGAATTCTACTGTAGAAAAGGAAAAGAATTTCATTGTAGTGATTGGAATAGATCTAACTGATGCGTTGCAAGTGGTTCACATTTTCAGAGCCTCATATTCAACTTCTTTTTGTCGTTGCTTCTTACTTCTTTTGAATTGGAGAGAAAAACCTTCTGAAAGAGAAGGTTTAAATTCTCTCACAACTCTGTTGACCGCTTTCTTCATCTTCATTTGTCTTCTCTCGAACAAGATGACAATTCAAAATAACCTTCTCCTGCACAACCACACCTCCCCCCTTACCCCAGTCATGACTGCCCCAAAAAAAAAAAAGAAGAAAAACCAATAAATGAAAAAGAGAAGAGAGTGAGAGAGACACTGGATAGTTGAAAAGGATCGAACAGTAAGTTTATAGAATCTTTCAGTGTGATAATCGTATTTATTAAGGACCTAAGTGTGAAAAGTGGTATTTTGTTAGCGGCTCTGATATCGCATCTTTTAGGGTGACAGTTTTTGAATTTCTGATTTATTTATTCTGGTAAAGGAGTAAGAGAAAGTAGAATAATGAGCAGAAATTAATGGCAGAGAAGAACTTAAAGTGAGGTGAGGGGCCGGTCAAATAATGCTGGATCCTGGAGGAACTTTTTGACCAAATTTCCTTAACCTGAGTGTGAGTAGATTTTCCGGGGGATTGCTCCTGAACCTCTGCCTTTGCTTTTGGCTTTTTATTCTGTGGAGTACGCAATCCGTATCTCTTTGTTGCAAAAAATGAGACAACGAAGGTCTTAATCATGGCAAAAACTGACTCTTAGAGGTCTAAAATTTCAGGTTCTCATTGAGAACATGGAGCAGAACAATTAACCGAATCTCCTTTGTGTTATAAGAAGTTAATTGGTTCGTAGTAAGATGAATCAATACTCTTTATATCCTCTGGATTGTAACGTAACTTATACTCTGATCCTTGAGCTGATTCTTTCTAATTATATATTCTTCTACTTCGTGGTTTGATGTCATTGCGTTCTATTCCATCTTCCGTGTCATGTTAAAACCCATTCGCCCCTTCAGTGTTTTTATTTAAATAAATTGGCACTAGATATTTACAGCCTTTCTTGAATTTCTGCAGTATTTCGGACCAAATTTCGTCCATGACGCAGGGAACACTCGTGTCACGCCACCCGAGTACATTGATCCCTATCAGCTTCTTGAAGAAGAAAGAATTTCGTCCACAGCGCCTCGTCTAAACTGATGGACTAAATTGCTCTATGCAGATCAGCTTTTTCAAGCAATATTATTATAGGTTTCTATTGTTTATTCCCTTACCTTCACGTTATCCATTGTAAAATTATTGGCAGAACCTTCTTGTTTACGCCTCTGTAGTAGAAGCTTACTGAGGCCTTAACTATGAACTAGCTGTTCTGCCCTCCTACATCATGCGCAGCCGTACTTGTTAGTCATTCTGAAATCAGTTGTTGGAGTTCAAGTTTCTAAGCTTTATACCTACTGAAAGAAGAATCTCTTTTATTTTTCTTTTTTTTTTTTATAGTTTTGCCGTATTCATATGTGAAATGCTTTTTCCTTGTAATTCTCTTTTCCTCATTCTGCATTTCTTTTTATTCCAAAAAATATCCTCTCTATATATGTAGTAGATATTAGCATGACTCCTAAGGATATGGAAACTTTCACCGAAGAAACCGTGTGACAGTCAGATCACACGGATATGGACACTTAAAAAACACAAGTATAAGGTTCATTTGTAGTAATCTCTCTGTAGAAAGAGAAGCAACAATCTCAAGACTCGGATTTGAAGGGCTTGAGGGTGTCGAGATGCTTGATGAGGCCTCGGATGGATGCAGCAGCAGCCAGAAGTGAGATGCTTAAGCAGACGAAGCTTAAGATTTGCATCCAAATCCAAGTGAATGAAAACTTTCGAATCTTGGCTTGCGCTATGTACATCTCAATCGGGAAGAAAACCGTCAGCGGCCAGAATGAGGCAGCCCCAAGGAGCCCTAATACGTCATTGAAATTTGGGAAGATCATTGCCACTACTATTGTGAATATTACGTACGATGTTCTCCAAACTAACCTGAAGGGACTGAAATTCATAACGCAGCCGCCCGGCAAGTCAATCGAGTTTTCTCTGTTTATGAATGTACTTTCCGGCCATTTCTTTTTGCTCCAACTTTCCACAAATGCAAAAATCGGTTGTGCAAATACCTGCATTAATTTGTTTCGACGTTATATATAGAGTGGAGTTATCAATTTTTTTATTTTTTTATTTTTTATTTTTTTTAAAAAAAGATCTCGTATGCATTTTCATGTATATATATATATATGTATGGTTGAGACGCAATGCATTATACGTACGCAAGATGCATTCCCCAAGCAATCTATCTAATCATACCTGGTAGGCTCCCACAAGGTGTACCGCAATGCAGACATTAGCCAGATCGACAAGCCAAAATGGCTCGTAGAAACCAAATCCAGTTAAGAGATTTCCGGGGGAATCATTTCCAAATGCAGAATATCCCAGGACTCCACAGAGCATATAAAATACGGTCGAGACTGAAATTCCGATGAATGCAGCCCTTTTCATGACTTGGTTTTCCGGTGGAGTGGATTTTAGCGTGTCCTAGTGTTCAAGTAAAATGGTTAGCTTAAGAAGCTAGTGTATAGTTAAACAACAAGAACCTCCAAAAAGATAGGACGACTTGCCTGTATCTCAACAAGTACAGTGGAAAAGGCATAGGCGAAGGCAATATCTCCCAGGGCTGAAAATGTGTCCCACATCTTATCCATGGCCGTCATACTCTTTCCGGCAGGTTTTCCTGTTAAGCTTGTCTGAGGATGAGCCCCGCCTTCAAAAAGATTCTTGCATGGTTACCTCATAAACGATATTAATAGAATGAATTAAGAAATGTATATGCAGATAGATGGAGCAGTAGTGTGACAAATTACCTGCAATTTGAGCTACAGAGAGGCCGAGGCCAATTGAAGAGTAACAAAAAGACATGACAGCAGCAATGATGGAAAGCAGCGACAGCTTGTGAAAGTTTGGTATTTGGCTGAGGATTACTTGTATCAACCCAAAGAGGATTATGAAGAAATTGTTTGAGGTGTGACAGCCATCACGAACATGATTCTCATGGAAGCAGTCTGATCGTTTGATGGCCCTGAACAAGAATCCAATCCTGAATAAACATCTATACATGATTGATTAATGTATTTGATCAAATGCGCCTTTGTCAGTTATTGGTAGCTTACACCATGCTAATGGCTGTGGTGACCGTATATCCGATGGTGATGCCCACAAGATTCCCATATTGTGCTATCCCACAAAGCTGGACCTTGAGTCCTCCTGCGTGGATAGAAGAGCAAAGGGAGAGATGGTTTCTAATTAAGGAAGCGATGATGGTACAGTCTAACGACTTCACCAATCTTTTTTTCCTTTTGGACGAAGTCCAATGAATTAATAGTAGAGCTCTTAAATAAATGAGTAGAAATAGTCCATCCCTAGTAATTTAATTTCAGGGCAAACATTTTTATTTTCTTTTTATCAACGGCTAGGTGATTTCTTGCCTTTCTCCTTGTTAATTAATTATACCCAAGACAAAGGATATGAAGTAAGTAACGCAAGGTTCTATTCTACTGTCCAGTGCTAGCAGGTTACTGTTCCAGTCCCATACACATTCGATAACAAATTTAATGTTTTTGAGGGAATACAAACAAGTTTTTTTTTTTTTTTTTTTTAAAAAAATCCCCCGTTTCGGGGGTGTTAATTACGGTCAGCATTTACTTTCACTTGCATGGGGGCTGGCAACTTTCACCAACTTTTGTTTGTTTCTCAGTAAGTGAAGGATGAGCACCGGCCACAGCCCCCAGCCGAACATCTGTACGTAATCGCTAATTCATCTACTGTTCAACAGTTCAGTTTCCGAAGCATAATAGTTCAGTCGTCTGCTTTTGAATCAAATGGCAGATGATTAATAAATGGTGCAGCAAAAAAGATGAGCAACACTTTTTTTTTTTTTTGTTTGTTTTTTGGGGGAATGAGGGAATTGAAGAGCAAGTTTCAACAAATCTAAAGGTAAAAGAAATGTGGGGAGGAATCCTTGGACTGACATAAGAATATTAATAGTACAGTACTCCTCGGTAAACAAAAAAAAGGGAGAAGCTATGTACATGGAGACCCTTCTCCATGACAAAGCTGGAAAAGCTACAGCTTTGAAGAGATTTTTCCACATATAACTGTTCGTACGTAAAACCTTAAAATTAGGGCAGTTCTGCAAATTACTAAGCCTAATATGTCACGAAGAACAGTACAAGTTTGACGGTCGAGGGGTAGAAAGTCCTGTAAACTTGGAGGAGTAGTGGTCTAATTTGCAAGAAGACATTCAAGATAGAACAAGAAATCACTGGAATCTTCCTCCTTTTGCCAAAAAAAAAAACAGGGAAAATCTCTTTTGTAATTAAAAGATTTTTACGTGAAATTAACATGCATTGAAATTGTAGAAGGGCAGATGAAAGATTAGCTCGAATCAAGTGCTATGCAAAATTAATTGACTGGCCAAATTATACCAGCTGCATGATGATGACCAAGGATTTTTCTGATTATTTCTTGACGAGATTAATTACCTAGATTAGCTCTCACAACTTCCATGTAAGTACGGTTTCTCCGGCCGGTTACAGAGTCAGGAGACCTGTAACAATCAGCAAGTAGAATGGAAGTAAACCAGGTGATGCAAGAAAAGGCCATCATGGCAACTGGACCTGCAATCCACCCCAGCTGAGCAGTTGCCCATGCCAGAGACAGCACCCCCGACCCGATAACCGCCGTTATGATATGAGCACTAGCAGTAGTCAAGGTTCCTACAAACCAAACGGGTTAACCAACCAAAAAAAGATGAATCATTACCAGAGATCAGGAACAATATATTTCATGCGAAAACATCAAAACGTTAGAAAGAGATGAAGTCAAAGGGATGGAAAGTAGAAAATTATACCAGTTCGTTTAACACGACCATCCTCATCAAATTTTGAGTCATCATAGCCTCTTTCAACAGAAAAAATAGTGCCATTTGCCTGCATTTCTCAAACCTCACTTTTTTGTTTGTTCTTTTCTTGTTTTTCTGTCGGTTTTGTATTGTCTCGCAAGGTTTTTTTTTTTTTTTTTTTTTTTTTTTGAGGAGAAAGATGTGAAGTAAGAAAGGATGACAAGGAAATATATAACGGCAGTCATATCCCTGGAAGGGGTAGGTGTAATTAATACTTCACTTTTCGTTTGGTTGGAAGACACTCACACAATAGTTAGTGAGGAATATTTATTTACTGCTCCTTACCATTAGAGGTGATCGATTGTTAATGGTTTGTTTAATTTGCACTCTGACCAACTTCATCACTTCAATTCTTCTTTTTCTTGGGAGAATGTTCTTTTTATGGCGCTACCACTACTTTTCGTTTTTGATGCTTCATAAAATGAGTCAAAAAAGGAGGAAGAATGACACAGTACTGATCCACAACTTACCATGAATTTAGCATAATCACTTCAGAGGCATCCAAAGTCAGTGGGAGGAAAAAAAAAAAAATACAAGTGTTACGCGCAAAACTAAAGGAAGTTAGCACAAGTACTTAACCACCAAGCCCCCAAAAAAAAAAAAGATTAGCAATTTAGCGCTAGTTTTCTGAACATGTTTGGCTGTTCGTTTTTACCTTTTTGCATGTATGACAAGACATCTGATTCATGGAATCTGAAGATTTTGAACTTAAATGGCAATTATATAACCACTAAAATCTACAAAACTGCATTATTTATCTTTGTCCGACTTTTGGAATTCAACAATGTATTTACCGAGAGACTTTAAACAAAGGTATCAGGCGTGGTTAAAATAAGAAAGAGCCCCCTAAATCCAACAACATGATGTTCATCACTGAGTCTATAAATCGGGAAAAAAGGACTGGAAAATACTTAACAGTTGACCGTAGCACTTAGCAAACTGAATTAATGTGCAAATACACTCAATTACACTCCCATTCATATAAGATGAATGCATAATTAGTTAATCATAGACTTCGGCAGTTTGGATCCTTTAACCGCCTTGAACAAGAATGACCTGATAATTGATGCGAGGATTCCCTCTCATTGATTAGCTTAATAAATCATACATATTTAGAACTATTGCTTCTGATTTAGTACTTGCACCATGCTGATATCGGAGGTGAGTGTATATCCAATGGTTGCACCAACCAGAGTTCCATACTGCGCAAAGCTTGAATTTGCCACCACCTTCGTGAACAGAGTGTGAAAGTGCAGAGATGCATTGAGAGAATCAACCGCGAGTTTTAGAGAGGGAGAAAAAAGAAAAAAGAAAAAATTCATTAGAGGCTGCACCATGCTCAAGCTCGAGTTCAAATGAATAATTGTTAGTGCACTTGATTACACTTTGATAAATATCTGAATAGCTTCTGTCTTGCTAAAACTAATTATTGTCGTGTAACTCTTATTTCTAGTTTTCTTGTCAATTGTTAATCATGTGGTGTCACGTAGCATTAAACATTCTTTTAAACTTTATACATCTTTTCAACTCAAGGAACTCTTGCCTTAAAGGAGGTAAACTGGAGAATAGGATGAAGTGTAGATGAATGGAAGTTTTTACCATCTGGTGATAATTTTTGGCCTCCAGAATCACTGAGCGTTAATTGAACTACAGGATGTACACTCCGTTGCAAATATTATACATTCAACAACAGAGTGTACATTGACAATTTGTAAATTGCGCCAGAAGGTGTGGCAACGGCCAAAAACCATTCAAACGGAATTATAGTCCAAATTAATTAGGACCGTGAACTGCACCTTTAATGATAGTGGATAGCCCAAAATGGTTATAGGAATCTGCTGATCCGATCATCAAATTTGACAAAGAATCCAGTTCTTCCTAAATATTCAAAATAAAAGAAAAGGAGAATGTAGAAGAGAGGATGGAGTTTTCCCTGCACAAAAATGAGGAAAACTACTAATATCTTATTCCCTGCTTAGAAAGCCAGCATTTCCCATCATCCCGGTGCTGGCATGGCATTCAATACGTGACTTTTGTTTCTTTAGCACAGTAGAGTCAACCACGAATGCAATCCATATTTCAGGGTAGATACTGCTGGCTAATCAATGGCTTCGGTTTCCGAACCGCAACTTGTTTTCTTAGCTTTGTGTTTCATAATTTGTGGTGTTTGTCTAGAAAAGATGATAGCAAAAAACTTTAAAACAAGATTAGCTCTCACAGCTTCCATGTAGGTATACTTCCTTCTGCCAGTTTTGGAATCAGGTGACCCGTAGCAATCAGCAAGCAGAACAGAAGTAAACCAGGTGATGGTAGAAAATAACCGCATCAATGAAGTGTAATCAGGACATGCAGACTTACGTATGGAAAATTTTGAGGAAAAGAATCAAGCCAACAGCATAAATTTTAGAAAATCATCAGGGTTACCGGTTCGTTTTTGACACGACCAGCATCATCAAATTTTGAAACATCGTAAGCACCTTCCACAGCAAAACTCGTAGTCTAGTACTAGTAACTCTCTGCATTGGTCCAAGCTGACTTTGTTCTGCTCTCTCTGTTTCATGTTCCACGAAACAATTAATGAGTAGTTGTGGATTTTGGGTTGTGGATGCTGGGAGGCGAAGCAACCACTTGAAACCAAAAATGGATGAAAACCAACAAGTGCATCGACCATTTTTATTGGATGAATAAATGAAGACGAAAACTGCTGTAGCAGCCATACAACAAGATTTTTCTTCCCAAAAAAAAAAAAAGGGCAAAGTTATGTAGCTGGAATTAGAGCTAAAGGGGTTAGAGTTGAAGGGACATTTTCCAGTTCTACCAACATATTCTACATGGGCATGTGTCAAATGCTTTCAAATTAAAGCCAACTTTATTAAATCCTGAAAAATCTGGAAGTAGATATTCAGCTGTATCCGGTTCCAGAACGATGCTTTAATTGGATCCCAACATCTTTTGCGAAACAAAAGGTTGTCGGGAGAGGAGCAGGAACAGCTGGACGATGCAACAACTCTTCAACACTTATCGCAAATTGAATGTACACTTCTTATAAAAGAAACGTTATATTCACTTACTGTTTACATAGGCCATTGCATATTTGTGATCAATATGTGACTTTATCACATATTTATAACAATTTGAATTTCAGCATTATTGGTCCGTTTTGAGCCATTTATTGTATATTGTATCAAGTGATGTGCCACGATCTGTGTCATTCTTACCCTTTGTCAGCCATTTGTCACACCCTTTCGGCAATGGTTCCCTGTTTTTTTTTTTTTTGGTTTTTTCTCATGAGTGCAATAACTATTTGGTAGTAAAAGAGATTTTGATGGTTCTTAGGAGATTGGATAAAACAGCACGTGGCATTTCTGCACCTAACAATCCACAATATTTGTGCTCTTGCGGGCAATCAGATGCATATTTCAGCAATCACAAAGGCACACCTTTGATTGCTGTATGAACTACTACGTTTACGTCTTTTGAGTTTACCAGTCGCCCCTCTTCCCACCCCCAAAGACACAAAAACAATGAGCTTCAGTTGAGTAATAATTTAGAGAACACGGCAAAAATAGGTCAAGACTTGAACAAAAGCAGCAAAAGGCTGAACATGATATTGCATTGATTAAAAAAAAAAAAAGGTACTCTGAAATTAGAGAACTAGTTAAGACTTAAGACGCTTAAAAGTCACTGGACATTAAACTAGATTACCAAACTTCCAGCAAATATCGATAATGGATAACACCAAATGGCATACTTGACAGGATAGCCAGAGACATAGATGGCAGAAGAGCATTCAGCCAACGTACTAATTGTCTGATAACCCTAAGCACACTAGTAACCTTCTCCATCATCACCATCCTCCTCTGTTCCCTCTGCTCCAACCTCTTCATAATCCTTCTCAAGAGCAGCAAGATCCTCGCGAGCTTCAGAGAACTCACCTTCCTCCATGCCCTCACCAACGTACCAGTGAACAAAAGCACGCTTTGCATACATTAGATCGAACTTGTGGTCAATGCGGGAGAAAACTTCTGCCACGCTGGTTGAGTTAGAGATCATGCAGACAGCCCTCTGGACCCCAGAAAGATCACCACCGGGCACAACAGTGGGTGGCTGGTAGTTGATACCACACTTAAATCCAGTAGGGCACCAGTCAACAAACTGGATGGTGCGCTTGGTCTTGATAGTGGCAACAGCTGCATTTACATCCTTGGGCACCACATCACCACGGTACATCAAACAACAGGCCATGTATTTGCCATGGCGAGGATCACACTTAGCCATCATAGATGAAGGTTCAAAGGCGCTGTTGGTGATTTCGGCCACAGAAAGCTGCTCATGATATGCTTTCTCAGCTGAGATAACAGGTGCATAAGACGAGAGCATAAAGTGGATTCTTGGATATGGGACCAAGTTAGTTTGAAACTCATTCACATCCACATTCAAGGAACCATCAAACCTAAGAGATGCAGTCAAGGAAGAAATGACCTGTATCAAGTAAGAAAATCCATAAAGATCAAAAACCAATCATTTAAAAAAAAAAGATTAAAAACGACAGTTAAAATTAGATTAAAAAAATCAGCTATAGTACCTGAGAAACAAGGCGGTTGAGGTTAGTGTAGGCAGGTCTCTCAATATCAAGGGAGCGCCTACAGATATCATAAATGGCCTCATTGTCAAGCAGCACAGCTACATCAGTATGCTCAAGGAGGGAATGGGTGGAGAGGACACTATTATAAGGCTCAACAACAGATGTTGAGACCTGTGGAGAGGGGTACACAGTGAACCCAAGTTTCGACTTCTTGCCATAGTCAACAGATAAACGTTCCAAGAGCAGGGAGCCCAGCCCAGATCCAGTACCTCCACCAACAGCATTGAAAACAAGGAAACCTTGGAGGCCTGTGCAGTTGTCAGCAAGCTTTCTGATGCGGTCCAAGCAGAGATCAACAATCTCTCTCCCGACTGAGACAACACAAACATTTCAACATTTAATATGCGACACGAACATAATTATGTATTTGGCGCATTATTGACTAAGATAATCATGTTCATTACTTGTGTAATGGCCACGGGCGAAATTGTTGGCAGCATCTTCCTTGCCGCTGATCAACTGATCAGGGTGGAAAA